ATATCAAAATACAACTTTTCACCGCAAAATTTTGTTAAAATGATGAAAAAATTTTTTGACCATTTAACATGGTTTCTTACGAGAAATCATGAATTTTCGCTTTCAATGAGCATAAACATAATGTAAAAAAACAAAAACTAAATAGAAAAAAATACGTATATGTAGGAAATTTAATAAGGAATAATTTGACTGCAAAAAGAAGTTCATCGACCGTTTAGTTATCGAGAAATAAATTGTTATGTGTAAAAATTCGTGGGTCATTTGCGCGTACCCTAACCAACAAATGAGCTAGAACAACAAAAATATGTGCTCATTCGACTCTAATGACAAATAGAGTATTGTTTTAAGCCTAAAACATCGAAAAAAACTCATCAAAATGATTAAACCTACAATTGAAAAAACCTACAATTTCGTGTTATTTCGAAGTTGGCAGCGCTGAAAATTTAACATTGGAAGTATAGGAGCCCCTCGCGTCCCGCTTCGTCCCCCTCTGATACTCCCGAACCTCCTTAATTTATATCTTTTTTTCTAAATCGAATATCGAAAAACCGCTCTGTGGGAACAGCTATAAAGAGCAACAAAATGAATGTTCCCACAGAGCGGTTTTTCGATATTCGATTTAGAAAAAAAATATAAATTTAACAAATTTTTCGACTCTGTTGGTAAATAATGTGGGGTACAGCTAGTATTACAGCTGTGACAAACTTATTATGAAAAAATTACAATTATTATTTCGACGCTGTTAAGGAAGAGTAGCACGTTTCTATACATTTTTAAATGTAAACGTGCTAGTCTTCCTTAATAGCGTCGATTTAGAGTTCATTATTAGAGTGACAATAATATTTTTATTGTAATAAATTTAAAAAATGTTACGATGGATACTTTAATTTTCATTTTTATACGAATTGGAATTCGGTGCTTCATTTCATTCCCTACCACCATCCTAACATAATAACAGTGGCTAAAAGTACAACTTTTGCCATCGAAATCGATGGCGAAACCGCGTACTTTCGACCAGGGGATCAAGAAAAAATCATTTTTCTCTTTCATGAAATATAATTCATACATTTATATATAAGGGTCAAAATAATACTTTTTTACAAAACCGTGCGCACGTATGTCACCGATCTTGACGCGCTTTTGGTATGTTATAGTACATGGTAAAAAGGTCCCAAAAAAAAATTTTTAGACCCCCTCCCCCTCCTACCCCCCACTTCCGGTATGAACGTCCATTTTCGATCTATATTTTTTCTGAGGACATGAAGCAATTAAAAAATCTGAAAAAATTCACAAAAATACTTTTCAATAATCCAAACCACCTTGAATTTTTTCAGAATTTTTAAGGGCTTCAGGCCTTCAGAAAAAATCATTGAAAATTTTAAAAATCGAGATACGGCGATATAAGCCGATATAGTAAACGGAAATTTTTTCAGTTTTTTATTGCATTGAAAAACATAACCTCAATTTTTTTCAGATTTTTTCAGATGACCTAACGCACCTTTTGAAGCAAAAAACCGCTTTTTTTGACGAAAATAATTTTTTTAGGACGATACGGAGCCTCGAAAAATCTAGAAAAAATTTTTTCTTGTTTTTTTCATCAAAATACATAACCTCAAATTTTTTCAGATTTTTTAATTGAAGGCGATAGCTTCTAGAGCCGAAAAAGGCTATTTTTAACAAAAAAAGGTTCCTGGAACCCGATGGTTCCGGTAAAAAAATTTGAAAAAAATTTTTTTTAATTCCTTGTCAAATTTTAATAAATTTTGACCGTTTCAAAAGTTCGATTGGAGCTTCCTAGCTCAATCTAGAGCAGGACAAAGATTAATGCAAAATTCTGAAGACGTTTCTGAAGATACATTAAGAAATGATGAAACTATTTTGATGCTCTAGATTGAGCTAGGAGGCTTCAATCGAACTTTTGAAAGGGTCAAAATTTATTAAAATTTGACAAGGAATTCAAAAAAAATTTTTTCAAATTTTTTTACCGGAACCATCGGGTTCCAGGAACCTTTTTTTGTTAAAAATAGCATTATTCGGCCCTAGAAACTATCGCCTTCAATTAAAAAATCTGAAAAAATTTGAGGTTATGTATTTTGATGAAAAAAACAAGAAAAAATTTTTTCCAGATTTTTCGAGGCTCCATATCGTCCTAAAAAAATTATTTTCGTCAAAAAAAGCGGTTTTTTGCTTCAAAAGGTGCGTTAGGTCATCTGAAAAAATCTGAAAAAAATTGAGGTTATGTTTTTCAATGCAATAAAAAACTGAAAAAATTTCCGTTTACTATATCGGCTCATATCGCCGTATCTCGATTTTTAAAATTTTCAATGATTTTTTCTGAAGGCCTGAAGCACTTAAAAATTCTGAAAAAATTCAAGGTGGTTTGGATTATTGAAAAGTATTTTTGTGAATTTTTTCAGATTTTTTAATTGCTTCATGTCCTCAGAAAAAATATAGATCGAAAATGGACGTTCATACCGGAAGTGGGGGGTAGGAGGGGGGAGGGGGTCTAAAAATTTTTTTTTGGGACCTTTTTACCATGTACTATAACATACCAAAAGCGCGTCAAGATCGGTGACATACGTGCGCACGGTTTTGTAAAAAAGTATTATTTTGACCCATAATGATAATTTTGCCATGTTTATTCTATGAATTTTGAATTACGCGCGTTCATATAAGGTATGCCTGCAGAGTGCAGCATGAACATGTTGCATGTCGTCTGCCATTGTGGGAACTGCCTCATTACTTAATACTTGCCTGTCGGAGACGGAGCGGCTGCTCACTCCTTCATAGAGAAAAAAGCAGTCAACTCACGACAGAGTTAAATGGAGCGCGAGGCAACGTTATAGTGTCAAAATTTTCAATTTTTTTTTCCATTTTATTACGTTGAAGTTTAATTCTCTTTTACTCAAAAATGTTTAAATCCAATCCTTATGTGAGTGTGAGTGATTTAGATAAGTGTGTACATTGGATAAATGATGGATCTTTCAGAAAGGTACATTTAATTTTATTGACCAGCAAAAATTTCCAATTGACTTGAAACTATCATGTTATTTAATAAAATTTGTAGATATCCTTGGAAATCCCAGAACACATGTTAGAATATTCTGCGGATATAGCTTTGTACTTACAAAAATGCACTGAAAATACAGATGTTTGGATTATCGGTGATAGAATCTATGATTCCGCTTGCAGTGATAAATTGAGTCATGATCATATAGATGGTGATGCAGCTGTACATTTTGGCCAAGCATGTTTAAGCTGTGATAGTTTAATTCCTACGTATTTTGTTTTTCCAAAAGAGAGCATTGATGTACAAAGCTATTGTAAGTTATTTTGTGAATATTTTCAAAATGTACAAGAAAAAATTCTGTTTTTTTACGACACATCTTATGCTTGCTCGATTGGTAAGTTTACAACTATTTAGCAACATCCAATTCAAAAAGTTTACATATACAAAACATTTTTTTGATTTACAGATGATATCTATGAATGCCTTAAAGTCAGATACAATAATTTGATATTCACACAATTAATATGTACATCAAATGCATCATTTTCATGTCCTCAATCAGCTGGTGTAAAGCATACATTTTTTGGAAGGCACGTAAATTTACCACCAGACAATACAATAAGTGCTTATTCTGCAGTATTTTTAGGACCAGTTGAAAAAACTTTTAATGCAATGGCGTTAAGCATACCTGCAAAAAAGTGGTACTATGTTGAAAATTCAGTATTCACTGAATTTAACTCATATTCTTCAAAATTTTTAAAGAGAAGAAGTTATTTATTAGAAAAAATAAGGGATGCACAGAAATTTGGTCTTTTAATTGCATCATTAAATATGACAGGTTTCATGACCATGGTTGACCACCTAAAGACTGTATTAGAAAAAATGGATAAAAGAGTATATGTTTTTACAGTAGGACAAATGACACCATCAAAGTTAGCTAATTTTGATGAGGTTAGTATATTTAACTGATATATTTTTCCTTTAACATGAAGAAAAGTCTTAGCTTACTCATAAATTTATTTTTAGATTGATCTTTTTGTGGCTATAGCGTGTCCTGAAAACAGTTTGATCGATTCCAAAGAATACTACAAACCAATAGTTTTGCCTTATGAAGTTGAATTAGCTTTTAATGAGAATAGAACTCAAGATTCTCTTCATATAGTTGATTTTAAGTTTATCTTACCAGGGGCGTCAGCTTTTATAGATTTTGAAGCATCAGAGTATTCTGAGCCATCTTTAGTTTCTGGTAATATGAGAAGTGCAAGCGCACATAATAAACGAGAAACAAGTACCGAAGAAAAGATGAAAGAATTAGCGCTAGTAGAAAAATCTACGGGGACTTTATCATTGAACATCATTGAACCAAGTTATCTAAAATCCAGACATTTTATTGGTTTAGAGCAGAAACTTGGCCAAACTGAGCCCAGTCTAGCTGTAGAAGGTCGAGATGGTATTCCTATCAATTACGCAAATGAAAAAAATTGATTTAATGAGTGTGATAAAATTTTATACAAAATAATATATTTGTACAGATAGTATATTCAAAATACGCACAATTGTAAAAATAAAACTACAACATTTTTCCTATAACAACGTGGTTTATTTATTAACATTGTTGAAAACTCTATAATTATTATAATTCATCAATTCTATGCTTACATATAAAATCAAATGCAATGTATATAACATCATCAATTTTTTTTTTAGTCAATCGATCCACCGATCGATAAAAGTAGTTTGCTTAAAGAGGTTTTCATTAGTATTTTTTTTTTTATGATAAAAAAGAGAAAAATAAAACTGTGTGTTTCATAATATGATACTAGCATCATATAATCGTTCAGAAGTATTTATAAAGAGAAGCTCATAGACTTTTCATAGTAAATATTAACTAATTTCATTAAAAAATTACAGCTTTGTCGTTTTAACACATAACTCTCGGCGTTAAATATCAAAACAGTTCTGAAATGGGCAAAAGAATTCCGGGTTAAACTAATTTCACTTATGGACTCGTGTTTGTGTATGCAGTATATATGATAACTAGTCACCAACGACTAAACCGTATAGATACACATCTTTTTTTTTTTTTTTACTATACATCGTAAACGATCTCTCGCGATACTCAAAGTAGGCTGCGGATCGGACTCTTTTAAATTCGATACATAAAAAACATCCCGCGCGGATGAATTTACACAACTTTTTTTTTCTTCTTGCTTCTTTTTTCTTTTTTTTCAGCGCCCATCTGAAAATCCGCGAATTGGAAGGTGTACTTTTTTTTTATTATTATATTTGTTTGCGGCTAATAGCAATGATAGTAGCGGCGTGGCTGGAGCGCTTTGCGCGCTTGGCCGCACGGCTAGGTGCGCTTGTTGTTGTAGTTGTTCTGGTCGTTCTCGCACTCGTCGTCGTCGTCGTCGTCGTGGGTGTGGGTGACGTTGCGCGGCGTCTCGGGCCTCGCGTGCGGTATGGAGCCGCCACCCTCGGAGTCGGCCCTCGGCGACAGGGTGTCCTGAGCGAGAGAGAGAGAGAGAGAGAAAGAATAGTGAAAAATCGGTTGGAAAGAATAATTTCATACATCAACAAGAGCTACCTTGTTGAGATTGTCGCCGTTGCTGGCGGGATCGAGGGCCTCGGCGTCGGCCTCGTTAAGCTCGTCGTTGCTGCTGCTCGAGTCGCTGACGTTGGTGATGCGTACGCGTTCGCAGGCGTTATTAGCGTCGGCCCCCGCTGCCTCGCTGCTGGCGACGACGCTGGCCCCGCTGGCGGTGCCGCTGTTGCCGTCGACGCCGTCCTTGTTGATTTTCGTGAATAGCCGCGTGCGCGAGATCGTCGGTGTTTCGATGACGAAGCGCTGCTCGTGCGCGACCGTACTCTCGTGTGGCATCTGTGGTGCGTAGGAAAAAAAAATAACCAGATACAAATATCGGTTTCATTCTAGTAACACACAATCACCAAATGCTTACCAGCATGGCGGGCGCTCTGAACATGTACGAGAACGGATAGTACATGAGATTGAGGAAGGTGGCCGCGTAGAGATCGGCGTATCTCACCACTTGGCTGCTGAAGAAGGTCTGCCTGCTGCCGCTGCGAAACAGCGAGCCCATCATGCCGTACGACAGGTCCATCTTGTGCGTCACGTCCCTGATGCTGGCCCTCAGCTTGGATATGTCGGGCTTCTCCTTGGTGCTGCTGTCGAGATTCTTGTACATCTCGCCGAGCATGAGATCCAGGCTCTGCAGCTCGGCGAACAGCTGGCACTTGTCCGTCCAGACGTGCAGCTCCTGGACGAGCTCGGGCACGATGAGGAACGTCCTCCAGCCCCGGATCTTTTTGCTCTTGAGTATGTCGCCGAATATGTGATCGCCGATGTAGAGCACGTCCTTGCCCTTGGCGCCGATCATCTCGGTGAAGACGTCGCACGAGCCGCCGGAGTAGACCTCGTCGGTGTGCAGCGGGCCCCGATGGGTGCCGAGCTTCAGGGCGCCCGTCTTGGTGTCGACTCGGCGCAGTATCGTGCCCTCGCCGAAGAACAGGGGCTTGCGCGCGTCCACGACTATCGTGTCGAAGTACGTCTTCCAGTTTCTGTGCGGCTTGTCGGGCTAAAATAATACAATACACACACACACACAGAATGTAATAATACAACGTAACACGAGGAAAAATAAAGCACAGAGAAACAAGTTTACTTGGTTGAGAGGATCGATTACACTCGATCGTCGCAATTGCATCATACGTATATGAACGCGCGGAGAGTATTTACCTTAGCTCCGTGCGGAAAGTCAAACAGGTGCGTCATGATCTTGTCCGTGAAGACGTAATCGCTGTTGGTGAGCAGAAAGACTTTGGCGCCGCTCTCGCGTATCCTCGTGAGGAACATGGGCAGGCGCTCGTCGCGCTTTATGTACTGGGGCAGATTCTCCACGGTCTTGGACTTGAGATCGCCGTGCATGTGTATCCAGTCGACGGCGTTGCGCACGTCCTGGAAGATGCTCTTGAAGGACATGGTGACGTCGCCGTCCTTGACGCCGGTGCGGTCCTTGGTGGCGGCGAACTGTCGCGAATTCGTGAAGTAGTCGATGAGGCAGGCGAGCAGATAGGTCTCGGGCAGATTGAACAGGGTGTTGAGCACGAAGACCCGAGACTCGTCGAGCTGGAGGAATTTGTTCGGGTAGAGCTCGTATACCTGCGAACTGCGGACGAACGATTGTAATCATTCGATCGTACAAAACGATCCGATCTCCTATTTATATATAATATACTTACTGCTTCAAAAATTCGAATCCGTGCACGCAGACGAGTATGTTGCCGTAAGCGTCGACCTTGAGCAGATTGCCGTAGAGCGAGTCGAACCAGAGGCCCCTGACCGGAAAGCTCGGGTCGTACTCGAACGTCAGTATCTCCTTGGGATATCCGAGGGAGACCAGCCGATCCTTGATGAGATTGAAGCCGAGCTGCTCGTACTCGGGCGACTTGTACTCCGCCAGCGTGTAGTCCATGTCGAAGCCGTAGAACTTGATGTTCTCGAGGTGGAGACTCCGATTCACGAAGACCCTGTTGAGGAACAGGCGGCGACGATGAGTACGCATTATAACCGAGTAGTCGCTGTGGTTCACGATATTCGAACGATTTCGCGATCGAGGCTGCTCGCTGCAGGCATTGCTGCTGCTGTTGCTGCTGCTGTTGCCGTTGCTGCTGCTCGCGATTTTATTAAGATTTCGGCCGAAGAGTCGCTTGTAAAGCCGTGAGTATTTGTACATATACCAAGGAGGTGTTGATACGCGAGAGGACCGAGCGATACTGAAAGCTCCGCCGCCGTGTACGAGGCGGGCAGGATTGACTGCGAGGAGCTATGTGCCGCTGCAGCTGCGAATTGCATTACATTATAGGCCAACAAATAGTCTCTCTCTCTCTCTCTCTCGACGGTGGTAGCGGCGAATTGCGTCGAATAATAGTCAATTACATGTGCCTCGAGAGATGATACGCGTATAACGCGGAGCGGAGAACGCGCGCTTTACACCGCACTGCGTCTAGATGCGTCTCTTTACTACTACTACCACTACTATACTACTATACTACTACTACTACTACTGGTACGCGACAGGCTATAATATTATAACGTTAATACGCAAACGTCGACGACGTGACGAGTTTAGCACACGTTTCTCATTAGTTATATTTTTTTTGCTCCCGTTCGATGTGAAAATAATCGTGTGCGTGTCTCTCATTCCTTCTCCATGCACGATAGAGGATAGTCATCGTCGTCTCATCACCGCAGCAGCAACAACATTAACAGCTAAGCAGCTATATACATCGTATTTTTACGAGCGCGCGTCACAAACATTTTTATATCATGCATACGTTATTATTCGATTTATTTCGTCTACCTGTGACTCAGTTCGCGCTTGTCGCTGCGCAATCCGTAAGCTCCCTCGTTGAAGCTGTCGAGGTCCTGCTCGCTGCGATCGTTGCGCCTGATGCCGCCGCCGCCGCCGTCGTCGCCGCTCTTGTTGCTGTCCTGCGACGACATGGCGATTTTCCTTTTCTCGCCACCGTTCAAATTGTTGCTGTTGCCGTTGCTGGTACTACTCGTGGTGCTGGTGCCGTTGCTGTTGCCCGCGGCTGTTTTTACCGCTGATTTGTTGGCTGCCCTTGTTGCTGCACCGTTGTCGCTGCTGCTGCTGCTGCTCTTCGTCGTCTCCTCGTGAAAGTGCACGCGGCAGCTCACTGAAACAGACAGACAGACAGAGAATCGTTGTTGTTATTATAAAGATGACGTTGTTAAATTATATTTTCAAAGGCGCGCGCGCGCGCATAGGTAAAGATATTTTAATATTATAAATAAAGATTTTGTCGCGTAAAACGAGAACTGCACGCATGAGAGAGAGGCGCGTTTAAATGTATCTATCTAAAAACGGACGTGCGTGCGCGCGTAGCATCGGCGGCAGCAGCATTTAATATTCCGACACACCGGCTTATAATCTGACTTTGACCTCGTTCGCTCTTCAGCACATTATATGCCGCGCACACGTACGAGTGTGCTGCTGCTGATGCTTGTAAGTATGTGTCTTTTATTATATCTATATAACGATACTCGAGCAGCTCGCACACGTTGCTGCTCCGTTTATACGCTATTTAAGCCTATATGTATCGCGCGAAATTCCGCAAATGAGCTAAGAAATCATCGAATTGGCGCAGTCGATGAGTTATGCGCCGCGCGCGCGAGCTATTCGCGCGTTATTAATCTCGAGATTCTCGATTCTCGCATTCTCTCTCTCTCTCTCTCTCTCTCTCTCTCTCTCTCTTGTTTCCTAGCGAGCTCTGAAAATACACAATTTATTTACCGAAAGTCGATCGCTAAAAATATATAAGCAGAGAAAGAAAGAGAGATAAAAAAGTAACAAGATCGAAGACAAGACTGCTGCTTGTGTTTTCGAGCAGAATATGGAAGCCGCAACGAGAATGTCGCATGCATACGCGTCTAATAATGAAAAAGACGGCACGAGCGAATTGTGCTGTTGATATATAAATAATCAATAGATCAATAGCGCAAACGTCTCCTTATGCGCGTATCGTCTTTAAGTTTCTCAATGACAACGACGAAGATTTTTTCTTATTCTTCTCCCGGCTCCAGACGCAAAAGACCAGATCCATAACGACAATTACTTATTACACATTTTTGTGTGCAGCGACGAAATCGCGCGCAGACCTCGACGCCGCCGCCGCGAATCACTCGACTTATCTCGAGTACGCGTGTATCTGTACAATGTACATAACAATATAATGTAACGATCGGCACGTATGCACATCCTTTTCAATTTCACTCTCTCTCTCTCTTTTACTCACTCACTCCCTTATCGATCTATCTAATTATATACACAATATTTACCAGAATTCTCGCAGTTATTTTCAATTCGATTGCAGCTACTCATAATTAATCAATTATTTAATCGGGACGCCTCGAGTGAATAAATAATATATTATTGATGATTGAGCGCAGCCGCGATGATGATGATTTCTATCGTTCTCTCTTTCTTTTTCTTTTCTTTTCTCTCGTTTACTTGAGCGTGAAATGAAACGACCTGCTTTGCTCGCTCATGCGTTAAGAACTGAGGCCTCGACATTTCGTCTGAATAATCATATATACTCTCTCTCTCTCTCTCTCTCTCTTCATTTCTGGCTGAGCGCAGCGCAACGCGGCGCTTTACGCGAATTGAAAACTAATTCTTTATTTTTTTTCATTTTTTGCATGCGAGCATCGAGAGAGAGAGAGAGAGAGAGAGAGACGAATGAGGCATCATCGCACTATTCGAAGAGAGAGAGATAAGAGCGATAAGGTGACCGACGTGTTTGTCCATGTGTCTCTCACTCTGCACACACATGCTGCTACTGCTGCATCGACGATGTCGTCGAGTGCTGCGGGTTGTTTTGCACGCGACGACGTCGATTGATAAACGTAATATCGCGACGTAATAATACAATTTAAAAAATACGTACTTTGCGAGAAAAATCGAGCCGTCTACTTTGCGAGGCATATTACATATGCTTTATGAATTTGCATCTAATATATCGGCTACAAATTTTTATTAGATAATCCTTTTAACGCCTGTACGCGATAGGTTACACCGTTCGTAAGTTGCATGACATAGCGCAGTATCGTTATACACGTTAAAATTACGTGCTTTAATAGACGCGCAATGTACACACATCGAGTGCAAACGAGCCTGACTATATAGGTAATAGCGAATTATGTATCGGGCGTCGAGAGTTGCCGACTTTTGTATATATACGATATAGCGCATGCCTTCGAAGCTATTTTCTGCCCGTTAAAGACCAAACTTTTTCACCGGTTTGTTTTCCCTTCGCATGCACACGAGTATATCACGTACGCGTAAGCAGGTTAATACCATTTTTGAAATTATCTCAGGTCGATCTTCTGGCACAACGAGGCGGACAGAACCGCGCGCGGTATATAATATTCGCGACTACGACGAGGGCAAAACGAGTTAAAAATAACAACCGATCTCGTGTTTCGAGCGATAAGATAATCGCCGAAAATTTATAAATACGTAAATGCACTTATTATTTACGCGTTCGCGCGAATACTTAATAATATACCGATCGATGCTCGAAGTAAGATAAGTTTTCGCATTCCCAAGACTGAGGACGTGCATAACGTCATGTACGTATATAATGATCGTTGCTGCTGCAAGCTCGAAAGCTCCGAAAAAAAGACGTATATATAGTACCGTGTGTGTGTGAGTGTGTGTGTGTTTGCTGCTACTGACAAGGACACAAGCGCGTCGTACTTATTGTTCCTCCTCCTCTTCCTCCTCTTTTAATAGACAGTGCACCGAATCTTCCGAGGTACTCTTTTGTTTTCTGACCCTCGACCACACACGTACAAACACATACACACACCCTTTTCATATACTCGACCCTCTTACTCTTCGACACACGTGTGAGTTATGTATAAAATCTTTATTCCATCCACTCGTACGTCGATCGCTTATATAGGTAACCCGAGAAATTAATCGAGGCCCCTTACCCGATTCTCGAAGGAAAAATTATAAAAGGCTCTCTCTCTCTTTCTCGTTTACGCAAGGTATATAGAGAATCCAAAAATAAAGCGCGCGAAGCTCTAATTTCGCCTTGCGCCACGCTCTCCTCGTCTCCAATAAGTTTCTGACACGTGCCTTGCTGCCTGCCGCTGAGAAAGAGCTTCGATCGAGCTTTCGTGTACCAACATCCTCCTATCGCGTGTATACAACTTGGTAAAACACACGTGTATATAGCACGTATCCTAATTCAAACACCTACGCTCTATATATCCTCGCGCTCTCGCGAGTCCATTGAAAAGTTTTAGCACCCTCAAGGCCGAGGCTATACCGACCCGTTATACCCGAGGAAAAGTGTAATGGATATATGTAGGTACGTGGGTACAGCAGCAGCAGCAGCAGCAGCAGGGCGTAGTACTATATTATTGATTTTTTCCTTTTTCGCTCATCGTCGGCGTGGCGTCATCGTCATCAGCTGATGCTGCTGCATGCGGATAAATACTCCGCAGTGCAGCGATGCGAGAGAGTACATAAAACAAAAAAAAAAAAGTTAATCGCTTCGCAAGTGCACTGCGGACGCTTTGTGGCGCGTTCAAAAAATATGGACTCGAAATCAGCTCGCGATGGAAAGCAGTAATGTTGTTATTATTGATTTATTACACAATCGATAATATTTGCTCTCGGTTCCGATTATTTAATAAGCCAAAAAAATGTCGTCGTCGTCGTGGTGTCGCGCGCGAGAGAGAGATCGATGTAAATTGGGAATGGAAAAAAAACAACACGCCGCGAAAGAGCTGCTGCCATAAACACGTTATATATTATAATATGCGCTGGAACATTACGCACGATAATACACGACATGTTCTTTTTATTGGTTTTGTCAATCTCTCTGCGGGGGTCGTCGAACGTACATACGATAAACATACACATATATATATACGTAGTACACGATATTTTCATGTATGTGTATGCATAATGTAAGCGCGCGCATGGATGATGACACATGACGTTCTCGAGTTTGTGTATTTGCCCCCAGCGTGTATATAATATAATGTATACTCGTCCGCGCGCTTATCATCAATAACACACTCGCAATAAATTTCGAAATAACAGCAACAAAAAAAAACACTTATAATTATCATATTGTTATAATTATTGTTGTTATTACAGTTTTGAGTGGACGCGAGCTGAGGGACGCGCAATCTCGATGAGCGATTTTTTAATTGATAATAATCGGTCCGCGATGCGAAGCAGCCGCTCGAATTTATCATCATGCATATGAAATAATTAGCTGTTAATAGAGATCGATGATAATTGTGATGTTTTCTTTTTAGTGGCCCACAGCCGTCGTCGTTGTTGTTGTTGTTGTTGTTGTTGTTGATGCTCTGCTCGGGTATCACGTGTAGGTGTCGAAATCGATCGATTATTATCACTGCGCGCTGCGACGCGTAGCAGCAGCACCTCCCGTTATTCTGCATCAAAAAGTCGCGGGCACGAGCTATTGCCTGAATAGCCACTTCTTCTATTTTTTATATTTACTTTATGAATATGAGGAGTGTACACGTGCAGATTTTTAAACCGCCCCGGGGCAAAAATTCAACGACTCGACCTACATGTATTTGTGTACATAACCGCGATGAGATGCGCGTGTTTGTCAACTTGTATATAGGTATATCAATATAATAGTTGACGACGCATAACCTAAAAAAAAGGATTACAAAATAAAAGAAGAAATCATTGTCGAAGCATATTATCGTTCACTATTAAGGCATGCAGAGCGCGAACGAATATAGGCGATCGCACTTCGCTGCAGTGTCGAATCGTAAGCTCGCTGCCTCGACGCATGTATGCGGCGGTGCGAGAAAGTATACGAGATTTAATTGAGCGACGATTATTCATGCTCATGCCTCGCGCAGCTCGTGTGTACATACACTGCACGCTCGTCGCTCGCTTACTCGCTGGCTATAATGGCGTGCAAAAATCAACAAAACGTTTTTCACGATACGAGTTGCTATACGTACAACGTCTACTGTGCATATATAGGTATATAATATAATATACAGTTAGAAAAACACGCACACACCTTCGTTAGTTTGCAGATGGTTATCGGCAACAAAGACGCTGATATCCATCAATGACAAACGTTGCGCTTTCTCAATTATTATTTTTTATTATTATTTTAGAATCTCGTGCTTATATACCGCACACTCGCGCTTCTGCTATACTCTTCTGCTGCTGCTGTTGTTGTTTGTCATTTCTTCCTTTATCGGTTTTTTATTCGATATACTTTCTTTCTTTTTTTTTATTAAATACAACTTTGTTTATATTATTCACGCGAGCTTGCGGAACACGCGTCAAGTATGAATATATATTATGCACACAAACATTAATACATACGTTAAATTACGAAAGCTGTGTACGCGCGATCCGGGCCCCGCGCTATCTCTCTTCGCAATTGTTATTGTTATTGTAATTGCAACGCACGCACACTCGGATCGGGTTAACAGTGTTAACGACAAGGAACGGATAATGTTTTATTTTTTGTCTCTTTGTCGATTCTCGCCTTCGTTTGTGTATTGAACGAAGATTTCGAAATTGGCTTCGATTCGATAAGTAAAGGCTTTGTTGTTTGTTGTTGTCGTTGGACGTTCTCGAGGCTTCTACTTGCAAATGCAAAATATCACAGATACTTGTAAACGTTATAAACAATATGTTATTATTGTTGTGATCACAGACACATTAGCACACTCACGTACACACACAGGCACATTAATACATGCACACACTAGGAAATGAAAATCACGTACAGTACAGTACTACAGTACACAGTCAGTGTTGTCACAGCTAGGTCTACCACAGCACTAGACGACTTTATTGTATATATAGGCTCATAAGAGTGACGAGTCTGCTAAGTAAGCACACGGCACGGCGACGAATGACGTTGGGGTTTTTTTCTCTCTTTTTGCATTAAGTAGTAGTAGTAGAAGTATTAGTACCTACACACGTCGTTCGGGACAACACACGATGCGAATTTTATCGTCGCTTTGTGCCTAGTGCTGCTTGCTGCTGCTGCTGTTACTGCTGCTAATGTAAGCTCTATATAGTACACATACAGCACGATTCTAGACTCGAGAGTAGCAGTATATAATGTGCTATATACAGTAGTATCATAACACGGTAATGTGCGAAGCAGCAGCCAGCCGCCGACGCTCGTTTCGCATTGGAGCTTTATTGCGCATGGGCCAGGCCGAATATTCGATTGTATATATACAATATATATACGAAAGCTCTCTACGAGCGCGCGCTTTTTTTAATTGCCTCTTCCTCTTATCGAGAGTTTGTGTTTACTACGCTGGAAGGTTAAACGTCGGGGTTTTTTTTCGGGCTTATCGATTACTTTTTGTTTCGCTCGTTTTCTTCGGTACGGGGTGTGCGAGCGTGGAAGAATTTTTTTGCCCCGATGAAAGCTGTTGCGAAGAAATCGAATCTCTAGTACTCCAGTGCTCGAAAGCTCTGATAACGGCAAAGAGTATCGCGTATCAACCGCGCGCGCGTGTATCGATCCGAATTCTGCGCGTGAAAAATAAAAGTGTAATTTTTTACACCATGTCGTGCAACTTCGCAAAAAAAAAAAAACAAAAATTGGCACGCGAATATTAAATTCGTTGTTACCTTTGCTTTTCGGACGAATCACGCAATCCATTTTGTCCTCGCAGTTGGTGATCCGCAGCTGCTGTCCGTCATTCTGCACCATCTTATGCAGCTAAGAGTATTAACACACGTGCCTCTGACGATTTCGAGTCTTTTTTTATGGGTACTATGGGCGGAGACGAGGAAAAAAAATTAAAAATGGAAAAAAGTTGGGACGATTCCGTATACTTATAAGTACGTGACTCCCGCACGTTCACGAGAGAAGAATCGTTAATCAACGAAATAGTCAAAGCTCCGACGATCGCTCGATGAATATTTTATGTGGCTTGTATGTAAAAAAAAACAACGAAAAAGGAACGTTAAGAAGTCTGACCGATAGGAGCGCCGAAGAACAACTACTTATAAGACTGCGGGCTTTCGAGTACTGTAGCCGCGGCGAGGAGCTCCCCCGCTAACTTTGCCGAATCGAACACTTAATCAGTCTCTCTCTCTCTCTCGCACACTCTTTTTCCTTTTCTTGGCGTATCCAAATTATCATCTTTTCTCTCCCTCTACCTCGTCTCTTCGTGTGTAATGTACGCACACACATCAACATCAACTCTACCTATCTTCATGGAGTACCTTTTCGCGTCACGGTGTGTACGTGACTGTGCCTCCGGGGACCGAATGCTAATTGGCCGCATTTTATTGACTAAGTGTGCTTGGTCGAGAGACATGGTAATAAAAAGACGAAGAAGAAAATAACAGGTACGCACGCACGATGGGCACGCCTTTATTGTTTTTACGCGTTTTTTCTCGATTTATATGCCCAAGTGCTGCGATATAATTATTGGCATATTCGAGAGATTAGTTTGTTTTTTTCAACGTGCGCGCAAATCTCGCGTGAGCATAAGTATGGAAAAAGAAGGGGGGGGGGGGGGNNGGGGGGGGGGGGGGGGTTAAGTATGCCGTAGACTCGCGAGTGGAAAGTTTTTTTGTCGCCTCTCGCTCTCTTTCACTCTCTCACTCTCTCTGGCCCTCTTGGGATATTTTTTGATGCATCGGAGTAAACAATTAAACGCCGATGGAATAATTCGCACTCGCGCGAGTCACGAACGCAGCACCGCTCCGAGATAAATGGGTAAGAAAAGAGTAATTGTAATTTGAATTTTTGCTTTCTCTTATCTGTTAATTATTTATTTTACATGCATTATACAATAGTATAATCTGGGGATGTATGTACAATTTCTTTCTTTTCTTTTAGTAACTTATTAAGTGATAGAGCTTTGTTCTGTTTTTCTTTTTAAGTCATTTAATAATAATTTAATAATCAATATTTTTTAAAAATCACCAGACTAGCTGATTATAATCATTTAGAGCATATTTGATCTGTTTTCGTTTGCTTTTACTGCCTTCCATTCTTTGCTAGGAATAAAATTACACAATTTGTACAGTTCATAATAATCAATGCATGAATATCTCGTTTTATCTGGAAGATTCTATCACATTTTGTTTAACGACTGATGCTGCTCACTCCCATGCTATTGCGATGATTTGATGGACTTTGGTACTCTGGTAGTTGACTTGTTTCCTATAATGAGGAAATCATATAATTTTTGGTGTGTTTAATTTTTTCTCCCTTCTTTTTCGCGAATTGATAAATTTTTAATTCCTTTTTTAATCCAAGAATCGGTGAACGTGATTAGAATTTGTTATTCTCGAGAAATAGTACTTACTAATAACCAAGGATGATCCAAAACATCCTCTGCGCTAAAGCGTATTTCCGGTTGCGCTTGCAGCATATTTGAAATGAGTTCTTTGGCTGTAAGCGAGATATTGTCCCAGTACGGAGAAGTGAATTCGTAAAATCCGCTGAGAATTTGCTCGAATAGCTTCTCTTGTTCGTTGTCGGTCGAAACAAACGGTGGGAAACCACACAGGAGGATGTAAAGAATTACACCGGCAGCCCAGACATCGATCTGCAATAAAACGATAGAATCAATTTATTAAAAAATGCAAGCATAAAATTATGTCATTGTGATGAACGACGATAAGCGTACCTTCAATCCGTATCCTACTTCAGCGAGAATTTCTGGAGCTACATAAGTTGGAGTGCCGCAAATAGTATATAAAGGTTCTTGCACAACTTGGGCCAATCCGAAATCGGCAAGTTTTAGACAGGATATTCTGTCACCGCTGATTTGTACGAGAAGATTTTCCGGTTTAACGTCTCTGTGAACTATGTTGTGGGAGTGCAGATAAGCAAGTGCATAACACAAATGAGTGACCATGATTCTTGAATCGTCTTCGGAGAATTTCGTTGCTTTGGCTATAGCGTCGAACAAGTCGCCACCCTGAAAACGATCCATCATTGAAAAACTTTGACGTACGACGGAAAAATTATTAATGGTACTTTTCTCACCTTCATCAATTCCATCACTAAGAACAGGTGATCGTTCGTTTCCTGTTCCTCGATCAAACTTATGATGTTAGGGTGAGAAACTTGTCTCAGAATTGCAACTTCTCTGGCTAGCATAGCTTCTTTACCTTGGCACTTGTATTTGTCTATAATTTTCATAGCGTAACTAGTTCCAGTAGTCCTGAAATAAACAATTACTTTTAGGCTTTTGACTACTCAGATAATGGAAAGTTTGAATGTTATTTTCTACCAACCTGTGTACACATAATTTAACAACAGCAAAATTTCCATCTCCAATAACCGGGCCCATGTTGTATTGTAATTTCATTGGCATAGGTAGACTTATCGTTGAAGGACTTGGAGTTCTAGCTTGTTTATTAGATAATGATCTTTTAGAAGTCTTAGCGGGCATCTTTGGCATAGGTCCATTATGATTTTTAATACTAAATTGTCCTTTTCGAAATCCCTGTACACATTTTTGTTCTTCCAAATCTAATTCAAAATCTTCGTGATTAGGTTTCTCAATACCATAAACTATAAAAATGTCATCTTCACCAAAAAACTGTTCTAAAAGTGTGATTTGTTGGCCGGATAATGAATAAACTTTTCTTACAGCACCAGAATCTAATTTTATAACTTCTGTAATTGCTTCTAAGACATGCTCCACGCTTGGTGAATTTCTTTTATTCAATAACAGCCTTACAATTTTTCTGGGTTTTGGTCCATTCCTAACAACTGTAATAATTTTTGCTTTCACGCATAACGGGATCGCATTAACCTGCCTTGTGTTTATTGCTGGAGACGACGGCAGTCCTGATAAGGAACTACCACGCTTAACAGTCGATGACGAATAATCAACTTTTTTAAATGCTTCTCCATGTCCAGACACTACGTAGGATTTACCATCTTCAAGATCATTGATATCGAGAACCTTTTTACCATCCATTGTGTAAATTACCCGAACTCCATTTGGTAATGTAACATTTGAAATGAGTGCTCTTGTCAAATCTGTTATAAGACTATCAAAACTTCTATACCTCTCTGGAGTAACTGCAATAACAACACCATTATAAAACTTATCGCCATTTCTATAAAAACGAATTCTCTTGGCTTTCTTAGTTGCTGATGATATTTTTATATAGCTTAAGGAATGTCGATTACTATTATCCAACAAATTTTTATTTACAGTTGATACAAGGCTCGAGTTCAAATCTTTACCATTAGAACTGGAGTTTCCTTTTATACAAAGCAGAGACATTTGATCAACAGGTTCTTGCATTTTCTTTGTAGTTTTTAAACTGAAAAAAAATTTTGCATTGTTAATAAATTTTACTCAATTACATATGTATATTCTTAACTTTTTAGCTTACCATTTATTTTATTGGTGAGTAGTAGTGATAAATTTATATAATAATCTGCATAATTTATAATCCTTGAAAAATTGATGAACTATACATATCTTTGGAACTTTATTTGTAGAGCCAGCTATGTAAATCTAAGCATTAAATTGATTGCAGCTATTTTTGGAAAAACAGTGATATGTAGCAAAGCATTTTTCTTCATTACCATGAACATACCAGTGTCATGTGTATTCATTTGTATCAGTCTCAATAACCAGTACCTTGACAATTCTGAAACAAAACAAAAAAATAATCAATACCTACATAAATGTTGAAGTGCCAATAAAAAAGTTTGAATTTTCATTCGCACAGCAAAAAAAAAAGGAAGACAAGTCTGTAACGGCATTTCCTGTTGGCGTAAGCAGACACCAACAACTATTCCCTTTGCATTAAGCCAAAAGCGTAACCAGATAATGTTCAAGTGCTCTATAAATACGACACACTACATTTAACACAATGATATTGATTGAAATTTAAAGTATGAAATTTTCAATCAATTATTTGCTTGATGAGAAGTGAATTGAAACATTTTATTTCAAGAATGCCATTAATAAGAATGATTAAATTATCTTAAAGTGAACTGACATTGGCCAAAATTGCATTTAAATTATACTAATTCAATCTCACAAGGAACTCTTTGAAATTTATATAAAATGTTCAATGTGGGTGTGTCATTGCAGATAACAGGAACTGCACACCTATGTAAAACTTTATCAAAGGTACTGCCTTGCAAGAGTCACACACATTCTCTCTCTTTCTCCCACCTCTCTCAATCATTTGTCATGCACCAAAAATGCATCTTTCTCTCCGCGTGAGCGAGCGCGCGGAAAACTGCACCCACAATTGTCATTAGAAATCAATTCATGCAATCCTATATCCAGTCGGGCTGAGCTCTAACCTTTTAGCTATATGGATCGCAGCTATGCTTTCACTTATCGGCGATAAACCACGCACACACTTTCACCTAGATATTGCACCTGTCTCGGTGTATCGCCGCGCAGATATCTTAACCGAGAGCCGAAGAAAACTTTATCGGCGAGAGTAAACGAACGCGATAAATTTCACAATCGTTATGTGGGAACTCGAAAAAGCGCGTGTATCTCACGATACCTGCACTACTATTTTCTTCTATACCTCTGTGGCATGCCCGAGCGAACAATCGAGGGCCGAATAAGTAAAAATTCCTCGGCATAAAAATACGCAATGCAATAATTACTCTTGTGTATAGCGTGCAATTAAACTCTGCACTACTCCGCGCGCGTATAATACACTGCACGCACGGCACATAGAGCTCTGCTCGTGATTCGAGTGCGAGAGAAAGAGAGGCTCCTCTCGAAGGCTAATTATACACGCGCACAGGCTAAAATTGTATTACTTATTCTCGTTCGCTTATTTTCTTTATTTTTTTTTTCGCTTCTACTTACTACTATACTATCCACTTCTGTGCGTCTTCTTAAAAAAAATACAAATTTTAACGAGTTCTCGAATCTCGTTCCGAGTTCTCAGGGAAAAAAAAACCGAATGAATTTATAAAAAGTTCGCTCGACAAAGGCCTGTGTGCTCGCTCGGCTCCAAAGAGTTGGCGTGTATGCTTATTGCATGCTTACATTAACATTAAGCCGAGAGCGAGAGATGAGACACACGCGCGAAGCGATGAGTAATCCGTGTGTATACACGATGCGATATATACGATGCAATTCCGTGCAGCGCCCTATACACAGAACGATGATGATACATACACGACACACGATGCAACCGGAATCACACGATGCACCCGCAATTTTCCGCACAAAACTCTAGCAGCAGCGCAGCACGCACATTTCTTTCTGTTTCGGTATTAACTTTACTTTAACAAGGTGAAGGATAATGTATGCACGCAAGGAACGTTTTCTAACCTGCTTATATCGCGTCTGACACATATAACCCCTTGTAATTGAACCGCAAAAGCTCTCGACAATGCGTCGTTGAAAAAAAAATCAACGAAAACAAAAAATAAGAGAGCGACTCCCTCAATTGGACTCGAAATAAATTTTGTATTTACTCGATTGTCTGCTGCTGCTGCTCTGCACTCGTAATTTTATACACTGCTACATACAGATATCATAGGTAAGGTATGTGTTAGTAGTAGCAACACGCTGATACACTGCTGCTCCGCCGCGTACTACAACACGCTCCGATGCTGCACTAGACCAAACGCCAACTGCGGGTCGATGAATAATCGAATCGACTGGCGGAATTCTCTCTCTCTATATGTGCGAGTGCTGCTTACTGTGCCGCTCGCTACAAGCAGCGTTGTTACATTACACGCTACACAACACTGTGTCCGAGTAGAGACTGTTTCGGGCGCGAGCGAGTAAACGCTGAGTAAGTATCATTAAAGTACCAACGCCGAAAGCCAATAGACAGACAGAGAGAAAGAAAAAGAAAGAGAGAAATACGAGTTAAAGGCAATAAGTAGCACAGATTGTTCTTCTTCTTACTCATATATAAAGATGTGCTGCGCCGCTTCGCGCGAGATATATCTCTTTTTTTTCCACGCAAGACGTATAAACTAACTAAGAGACTAACGCGCGGCTGGCCTCAGCAGCAGCAGTCCGGGGAAATACTCGCTACATACTCGAATGGATAATAATAAGAGCAGAACAACGCTTCGAGGCTTGTTATATGGCGCGAGTAGTGCCCGCACGCAATAATGACTTATATAGCACACACACACAACGCACAAACAGACGAGTAATATTATAACAGCGCACATACACTCCAGCAGCAAACGAGATGCGACGTCGATTCCTCCTCTTTTTTATTTTTTTCTCCGCCTCGCGAGCTTACGCGAACGCTTATTGTTTCGACTTATTTTGCTCGACTTCTGCAAGTGCATATCACTCCTACTCCGGCAACGAGTATAAACGATTGAAAATTACGCGGCGGACTCTACTTGTATACCACTACTCTCGTGCTGGACAGCTCACATCGCGTGTCAGCCCGCGAGCTGCTGCTGCTGAAATCTGCAGCCGATGCATCGAGACGCGTGCACTTTATATACCTACTTACTCGCAATACGGCGCAAGGGTACATAACTTGGCCATATACTATATCTACTATATATGTATGTAGTGCAGTGTGTACCACACGCGATGCAGCGTACGTACATATACATACATGCATCAGTGCGTCGCGCCACCGCCGTCCGCGCGTGCTGCACTACTGCTCCCTTTCCGAAGGTTTTTTATTCATTATTAAAAGGAAAAAAAAAGGCCGAGTCTGCAGTTTAAATACACGCCGAGAGACGCGGCGGTGGCGCGAAAAGCTTTTTAAAAGGAATTGCAGCATCCAAAAGTATACAGATAATGTACGTATGCGTCATAAGTAAGTATATTTGTAAAATGAGCATTAAGAGATGAAAAGGACATTTAGCAGATGGAGAATGGAAAAGGGCGATAAGGTCACACCGAATTGAAGAGGCTCGGATATGCTGTTGATGCTGCGGCGTCTGCGTGCTAGCTGCCGGGGTTGCGGGGAGGAGAGAGTGGGAATAATTCAAGAACAGAGAGAGAGAGAGACGCGCAGAAAACCGGGGACGCGCGCGTGCACAGAGACATATATAAGTAACGTATTTCTCTCTGCTTGGGTTGATCGTATATATAGGCAGACAGAGCAATTCTTTTTTCGGACGTAAACGCCCTTCCGCGGGATTAAGTTTGGCTCCGACGCACACACGAGCCTTATATGTGGGCAGAGTAGGTATATAGTCGATGTACGCTATGACGTATGCGTCTGGAGATGCGAGATCTCGCGCCTTCCTCTTGTTTTCTTCGTTTTTTATACTTCCACCGGTCTGGGGATAGAGGAGATGGACATCGAAAAGAAGATAAGCTCGCGAGTAAACAAATGATTTCATCTATTTTTTACAAAGCTAAAACGAAACGACAATAATAATACTCGTGACGAAAATATGCTAATTATCAACTGGCTCGACAAGTCCGTCGCGACTTATCGAGCTCGCTGACTACGTCGTTCATCTCCAAATCGACGTATTTTCCGTCGTAAAGATCGTGTAGCTCGAGCGTCGGCCTGTCCAGACTCGTCGAGCCCTTGCCGACCACGACGACGCGCGGATAGCCGCTCTTGCGCGCCTCCACCAGTCTCTTGCCGATGGTCATGTGGGCGCGATCGTCGACGATGGCGTCGATGCCCAGCGACTCCAAGTGATGGTAAATCATCTCCGCCAAGTGCGTCGCCGGCTCCTCTTTGCTGCCTTGCTGCGTGGGGGGAAGAAGGAGGAGGAGAAAAAAAATTATCGAGTGTTTGGTGCATGTATACGTAAACGGAAGAACGACGATCGATGACTTTCTCGAGAGACTCTCTATATAGGTATTCTCGAGTGTGCGCGCTCGAAACGCGCACCGCAAATAATGGACGACGATGTATTTACCTTGGGCGTGATGATGCATACGCTGTAGGGCGCGAGCTCTCTGGGCCACCTGAGCTCCTGGTCGCGCGACAAGATTTCCACGGCCGAGGCGATGATGCGCGTCAGGCCCAGACCGTAGCAGCCCATGTACAGCAGTTGCTTCTTGTTGCTCGCGTCCACGTAGGTGGCGTTCAGCGGCTTCGAGTATCGAGTGCCCAGCAAAAACGTGTGGCCGATCTGTTGCGGTTTCAATAATGAAAGAAATCATTTTCATCGCCGCACGTTATCGCGCGCGTACAATTTACCTCGACCGAGTGCAACTTTTCCATGCTCTTGTTGCACCTGCTGCAGGCGACGGCCTCGCCTTCCACCTGTCTCGCCGCGATGTCCTCGGTGTCGTAACCGCAGTCGCGACAGCGCGCCACCCGATCCTCGCCGATCTCCGTGGCGTAATGATACTCGTGCGAAGTCGTGCCGCCCATCTGGCCGGTGTCGGCGCGCACCCGCACGTACGGAACGCCGATGCGCTCGAGCACGCGTCGGTAGGCCTCGCCGAGCTGCTCGTACGTCTCGGAGCCCGTGGCCTCGTCCGCGTCGAAGCTGTACAGGTCCTTCATGACGAATTCGCGGCTACGGAAGAGACCGAGCCGAGGCTTCATCTCGTCGCGCCACTTGCTCGAGATTTGATAGAGGCGGACGGGCAGTTGATTGTGGCTGAGAGGACCCGTTTGACGCACGAGTTCGGTGATGGATTCTTCGAACGTCTACAGCAAAACAAATTCGCTCGAATAACCTTTTCATGTTGATAAAAAAAAAAAAGGATCAAATAAAGTCCTTACGGGACTGAGGAGAAATTCTTTGCCGTGCCTGTCTTTCAGCTGGAACAATTCCGGCTGCGCTTGTTCCAGTCTGTTTGTCTTCTTCCACAGCTTGCTGGGCGTCAGTATGGGCAGCAGAACTTTTTGCCCGCCCACGCGCCTCATCTCCTCGTCGACGAGGGCCTGCAATTTGCCCAGCACCCGCATGCCGAGCGGCAGAAACGCGTACATGCCCGTGCTCGTGCCGTTGATTATGCCCGCATTGATCATCAGCTAAGGAAATTCGTCGGAATGGCGAGAATTGAGGGAAAGAAAACGAGTCAGTCGAGTTAGAGATAAAAAATCATAATGATAAAAACGAATGAGAGCAAGAGAGTCTCGGTAAAAGTTGGAAATGTGTACTTGATAACTTTTGGACGTGACGTCGGACTTCGGCATGGCATTTTTTGGAATGACAACCGTTGGTTGAAACAACTGCGACACTTTGTTGACCCACCGCATTGTTCGTGTTGTTTCTTTCGACGCTGTCTCAACATAAAATCACGCACCAAATACTTTGCCACTCATGAATTATGTCGGAACTATTCCACTCGCGCTCGTTGTTTTTATTATTGTGGCACTGACCGCACGCAACACGTGCAAAAAAATGTTTGCCAAAGCGTAGCAGACGACGCGACCGGCGGTGTCTCGGCAGCTGCGTTCTACAATTTCGTACTGCATAGCGCGATATAGCAATGGTTCAGGAATTGCGAATGGAAACTGGGCAGGCAGAATTTTAAATTTTATATGCAAAAATTTAACAATTTATTTGAACGATATTTTTAACATCATTACTTATTTGCATAAATTTATATTACAAATATAATTACATATATGCATTCAAAACTTCTCTCCGTTGAATAAATTATACAGCGTACACATTCCAGTCTTATTTCTGCAAGACATGGCTTCGGTGAAAATATTTTCTGAAGCAAGAAAAAAAAGAACTTAGTTTGCTGATTGTTGAATTTTTTTTTATAATTTAATTTGATTTTATAAGTACCTTCATCATCTTCTAAAATTAGATCATTTAAGTTTTTGGGAATGTTGTAATTAAGCATGTAACTGTGGAATCTGTCGAAATCAAGTGTTCTGGCTATGATTGAGTTGCTCTCGGAGAATTGATGTAAAATCGTTGACAATTCTAGATAAAAAAAAATTAATTAATAAAATTCTTATGATAAACTATAATGTGTTTTAATCTCTAATTAAAAATTATATATTTTTACCTCCTTCCCATGAATCCATAATGAAGTTCAGTCTTTGATTATTGGCAATAATATTTTCCATATTCAGCAGTTTCTCGAACGTTGCCGGAAAATCTTGATGAAGCTTTCGAGGAGTCAAGAACTTGATCTGCCAGACGGACGTGCCTTTTGGCTGCTTTTCCAAAGTCACCAGTAATTTTTGAATGCTCAGCCAGAGCGGTATAAACGATACCTTATCCCTGACGACGCATTCGTAAGCTATGTTCGTCAATTGTTGCAGGAAATTGTGCTCCATATCCGACATTTGAACTCGGATTTCCTTGATGTCTCGGTTACCGTTTTTCGGCGCGCCGAAGCAAAGCTCTGTGAGACTGTGGTGCACCGGTTCGACGCAGTAATCGTCGCACTCTTCGTCGCAGGGCTGATCGACTTTCTTCAAGAAGCTATTGACGAAGTTCAGTATGATCGAGTTGGAGGTGAAGGAAGTTATCTGCTTGGGCGACGCCGTCCAAATGATGACGTCGTCGGTTGTCAACGTCTGTGCCAAGAGTGTACGGAAACCTTGTGGATCCTCCATGTGCGAAAGACAGCCAGCTTTTTGTTTAACGTACAGCGAGCAGTTGGCGTTCAGAATTTTCTTCAACTGATCGAAATTACGATCCCTGTCGAACGTTATCTTCCAGTATCGGTCGTCATCCAGCTCGACTTTCAGCAGACTGTCGAGCTGCGGCAACATACACGGCGCTTTTACTATCACTTCGGGCCCTTTTTGGAAGCCATCACCGGCGAAGGTCAATTTCATTTGAGCAAAACAGTACGCCTCGCTGTCGATGTCTTTGGGCAGGAGCAACCGTGGCTCGGTGGCCAGCACGTAAAAGTGACGCAGAGCTTGCAAGTGATATCTGTTGTCGTTGCTGTGTGTTGGAAATTTCGGGAACAGAGCTATGACCAAAGCCGCGACCGAGGCCGGATCATTGCGCAGATTGTAGCAGCCTCCGCCGAGGAATAAAAATCCAAGCGCCATGTGATAGGCCACCTGAGATCCGTAAGTGACAACGCTGTTACTCGGGCCGACTCGAGTACGAAGGTACCTGCATACTCTCAAGATCTACGAAGTCGGGAAGATTAATGGATTAAAGAGTGCAATATGATACGATTGATTTAAAATCACTAATATAACACTTACCTCTAAATTCCCCGTACCAGCCATGACAATCGACACGGCTAATAGGACTACGCAAGTACACGTCTCGATGGTGGCTTTTCCAGCTAGTTCAGCGACTGATTTTGTTGTCAGATTCATAAACGATTTTAGGAAATGAAACAATGTGTTGAAGGCATGCTGATTCTCTGTGCCAGCATACTTCAAGCCCATGGCCATGCAGGCTCCGGCAATTATGTTGCAATAGGCTTGACTGTCAAACATAGATTCAACATCAAACATTTCAAAAGAATCGTCACTTCAATATAAATATAGTATGTAAATTAGAATAATGTACTAGGCATTGAGTATTTACGGTATTTTCAATTTTCTTTCAAATTGTACTTACTTTATCGTTTCCAAATCTACAAACTCAGTGATTTCTGCGCTAGGTTTCATCATTTTGTATTTGGCAACAATTTCCGGCACGTGACTCGAGGCCCAAGTCCTCGACGGCTCAATATCATCCCACAATATGAGAGACTTTGCAAGGATGCGAAGCATCAGCAGATCAGGCCGCACGAAGTCCAGTAAATATTGGGTGTTAGGTGCAGCCATCCATTCGGCTACAGCGTGATTTCCCGTTTTCATGTACATAAAGCCAAGAGCAATCGTCGCTCCAGGACTGGTAACGTCGATGTTTATGGAGTCTCCCTCTCGTATCTGATAGCTGTTTCAAATAATAAAAGTTTAGTAGTGAAATTTCCAAATACATTTTTACGCGCGTATTGATGTAAGTACCTTGGAGATTTGTATTTGTCTCTTTGAGCCCCGACGAAAGGTCTCGTATTGCCACCGACCATGTAGTAATGCAGGGTGTCGGGTATGCTGGCTAAATCGGAACCTCCTCCGGAACCTAGCACCACTAATCCCAGAGCCATGCCGGCTGTAAGGGAGTAAGACTCTCTGTCGACGCAATTTTTCATCTCGGGACCTGGTGGCCGTCCTGTGAACGATCATTGAATTTATAGAAAGGGTCTGAAAAGAATGATAATTTTTTTTCATAAATTAATTCCTACCGATCTCAGCTAGCAAGGCATGCGATATGTGACGGTGATTAGTTCCTTGATAAACCAAACCCACTCCCATGAGAGCGGCGACCTGGACGTTTTGCTGAACGTTCAATTCTATGCTCGTGGGTGGCAGAAGGGTTTCGACGTGCAAGGATAATAATTTTGTCATCGATACGTCCATCGACGATCTATGCGTGGCGGAGAGGCCCAGCAGCAGGCCTACACTCGTGGTCTCATGACACTCGACCAAATACTCGTACATACTGAACGGAGCTAAATTCTTGAGATGTCCGTTCAGGCCAAGAGCCATGAGGAAACCCGAGTGCTCGATGCCGAATTCGCCCTGCTGCTGTTTGTTATACACGATCCAGGTGGAGTCGACATTTTTGGCCGACGGATGAATACAGAGACCGGTGGCGAGGCCATTGTGAAACAGCGGCCAAGTGTTCATATTGCTCGGCACGTCGATGTGTGTTAACTCGACGGTCGTGCCACGAGGCGGTGCTTTACCGGTGAGGCACAGCCTGGGGATCGGCAGCTGCTCAGTATTCACCGGCATCGACGATCTCATAGTGAAAATACCGCGGCCGATCGGCAAAGCCATCGTCCTCGTGCACAGCGAGTGAAGGTATCTCTCTTGCTCCTCGATGAACTCGTGATCGCTCACTTCTGGCCTCTGGGTGATGGTGATTGGTATGGGTTCTGAGGAGTCGAGGCATTGGCGCACTTCACGTACTCGATAGTCAACGTTAAACCTCAACCGCAATATCTACGAAAAAAAAAACAATACATCATTTACAAATTGATACTTTTCATTGAATTACATAGGAGTTGGATAATTCTTACGGTATAATCGAGTTCCATGCCATCATTCAAATCTTTGTCATCGTGATTGCGATCCCGTTGTATGTACTTATTCTCTTCATTCTCGAGATAATCCTTGCCAGCGACTTTCTGCTCCAAAGCGGCTAAATCTTGTCGATCGATCAGCTCGTAAACGCTTGATGGCCAATTGGTCGGTGGATTTTCTCGGCAGAAGTATAAGATGCTGTTGAAGATGTAATTGATACCCGCTGGTAAATTATCCAATTCATTTTTGTCGATTCCTTTGAAATAAATTACGATTAATACCAATGGTTAAATTTTGAATAACAATATTAATGACGGAAAAATTACCTGTTTTATAGCAATGCATCATGACGTCTTCCATGAGTTCTTTCTTACTTTTTGGCGCAAATAGTCTTTCAGCTTGATGGGTTTGACTTACAACTTTGAAGAAATTATCTAATTCCAACAAATAATCTTTCTTGCATTCGGTCAACAGAGCGAACACCTGAACCAAATTTTTGCTCATAGGATTGACGTTCGGCAAATATGGATACGGATACGACGTGTCCGATTCGCAGAGTAAATTGTACAAAGTTCTAAATATGTCCGGCGTGTGAGACGCTATGAAATTCGGAATGATGATTTTGCCGGTGTCGTGCTCGGCAATTTGGAATTCCGACCTATTTTTTCCAAGTATTGGAAAATCGGCGAAGTAGTGCAATCTATAAGATTTGAGATTTAGATCGGTACACAGCTGGTGTAATAATTTCGCCAATAGAAGCAAACTCTCCGACATGGCACTGTTGAGTTTAAGCTCCTCGTAGAGTAAGTGCAAAGCGAACAGCACTTGAGGCAGGTGCACTACGAAAGGAGATTGGAGATTGATTTTGGTCCTCTGGGCCTCGTCCTTGTGATCGCTTACGCTCACAAAGTCGCAATTATCGTTTTTCCGCTGCCACTTGGTCAGGCCCAAGGAATCGGTCAGATAATTCTGAACTTGGCCGGTTACCTCGGCGCCCATGAGATAGTTCCAATCGTCGGTCGAGCCATTATTCGTGGTCTTCTGCTTCTTCGAAACTATCACGGGACTGCAGTGTTCCGTCGTGAGATCGCCGTCACTCGTCGTTATCGGCAGTTTGTTGATGTCATAGCCGAACAGCGTGAAGAAAATAATAAGGAACAACTTCCATTCCTGATTGACTGTAAGATCCTGAGGACCGGGCGCATTACGGGCCACATACCATTTGACCAGCAACTGAGTGGCCAGGTCGCGCGGCAGGATGTTACGAAGAGTCTTCAGACACATGGAGACGAGAGGAGACGCCTTCAAAGTCGGCAGAGTGACTTTGTAATAATTGCTGTAGCCGTATTCTAGAACCAATTTGTTACCGACAGCACTTTTTAAATAAGTGGGTCCGTCGATTAGGGAATTGTCGATTAGATGGTCCCTCGCCCCTCGTCCCTCACCCACTGGACTCAAGAGATGTACTCCGTCGTCGAACTTGATGTCCGGCGAGGATGTGGCCGCTGTCAATATGAGAGAACTTCTTTTCGGGTAAGGAGACATGATCTCGCGATCGTAAAAGTGAGGCAACGCGAAGCTCGGACCTACGATGCTTGGAAGTACACTCGGTATATGAAGCTTACCGACGTACGACGATCCCGAGTAGATCGTTATGTTTCCGTTCAGCTCCATCACGGCCATCATGTTCAGTTTCTATGAATGAATAAAAAAATTAAAACAAACGTCTAAAGCTGAATTAAAAAGAACTTACAGGTAAATTGATTGCATCCTTTGCTGTGATTGTCGTAACCATTCCCAAAATTATTCTCCCAGGGTCGTGAGATTTTTCTAGCCTTACAAGACACAAACGATACTGATTCGTTAAAACGTAACAAAAGTAAACTTGACCAATGAGATCTGTAGTGAGGAATACCCTCGAAGCATGTTCAATATTAGTATCTCTGAAATAATTGAAAGAATTGTTAACCCTCCATTTACTTATTTTAAGTTTTTTTTTTCAATGCCAAAACTTACTTAAGTTGATTTATATTTTCCGTCCAAACGTGCTCCAAGCATAATTCTGGCACTATCATTCCTGCTACCGAGCACTGCGAGAATTGAGAAAATGCATTTATTGTCCTACTCGTAGAGAAGACGTTATTACGATCTGATTTACCCATCGAATAGGCTAATAACGTTTGATGTGATTTACTGAGATTACTGAAAACTGGCGTCCCACTCATGGTGGAAAATATTGGATTCGTCGGGGATTGACAACGTGAAATTGTTGCCATTGGACTTTGTGATTTTGACAGATGTTGTGATGACATTGAAATATTTGCAGAGCAACTTGTCGCATATGAATTGGCACGAGATTGGAATGGGCTACCAGAAGTACCAAGCGTACTGAAAAATGTTCTACTGGTACTTCCTTTGATACCCATTGCAGAACTACTGGCATGATGAAGTGAAGGTGAAAATACAGAATTGAAGACTAGAGATGTATTATCAGCACTTGCGTTAATTAATTGACATTCTTCACTCGTGGCTTGCCTTATTTTATAAATAGAATGTAAAGTGGTTTTAGAATCATATACAAAGGCAAACGAAGGTTCTTCATTAGTAAATAGTATCTTCAAACTAGGATCCCAAGTCAATGATGTAGTTCCTTGTTTTATTAACACAGGACAAAAATCATCTAATGGGTGGGTCAAAGAATAAACTGTAGGGGCAATGGCATCTTCAGTAGTTGAAATATTTTTTATATTGTCTATTGTACTACTGCAATTAAATTTTTTATTAGACAATTAATATAAAAAATATTTTAATGTTTAAAAAATAAAAATAGATTCTTACCCATAAGTATAAGAGGGTTGAGAAGACTTTTCAAGTATAAGACCATATTTTGTAGCCCATACTGCAGAAACCTATGATGAATTTTAAAAGATCATTTATTTGATAATTTATTATAAAAACTTATTTTATAAAATCATTTATCATTTATTTGATAATTTATTATAAAAACTTATTTTATAAAATTGTTAAAAACAAACCTTGAATTGCAAACTTGAAATATGATTTTCACCTGTCTCAGTAAATACTTTTAAAGTATATGCATCAAACAGGCAAATGCAATCAATTTTTTCTTTTTTCCATGCTTCAGGGTTTTTAGGTTTTCCTCTTATAACTCTGTTTTTATCTTCATTGTGAAAAGAGCACCAAAGAGCATGAACAATGTCCGTCTCACAACAATATGATATTTGCTTTGTATTTTCTACAGAGCCTCCTTTACTAAGAACAGCCAATTTTCCTGAACAGTACAGTTCCTCTTCCAAATGATCATCATTATCTCGTAATATCCAAAACTCTTTCTGTCAATTTATATAAAAAATGACGTAAAGCATGAAAAAAATGTCATGACATACAGCAAAATGCAGTCACTTAGAAAATAAATACTTACAGAAGATTTTGATCCGACATCTAAATTTTTCAACTTTTCAGAAATAATTGATTGAAATAAATCATGATATTTATAAGACTCATTTTTCTTGGATTCAGGATGATTTTTAACAACTGAATGTCCATTTGGAAGGTATTCCTTCAAAAATAAAAATAAAAAATTGTTGTGTTAAACAACTGATTTCAAATTTACACTGTAAAACATATAAGTAGCAACAGTAATTACCACAGGATCCGAAGCATTGATCATGATGCCCTTTTTTTTTATGCGTTTTACATCCAGATTTGCTAATGTAATAATATGTCTAGTCTAAGTGATAAATATTTTAAATTCTTTACAAACAAAACGACGAAAAGATTATAATGGAACAATCCTTTTGAATTTGGAGACATGCCAAGGCCAATGGATGTTCAAATAAAAATTCGTCAACCTTATTGACAACACAACACGATCACTTGATTAACAATAAACATTAAACGCAACACTAATCGGCATTTTATTATGTTCTTACGAAGAGGTTATTTGTTTACCGCCAGTAGCAAAAAGTGAACCCGGTCATTTTCTGTAATTCTACAATGATCACTCGCACAACTCGGAACAGTGTGGAGAAAACGGAGACAAGGGAAGCGGAACTGGAATAATTCGTCGTCTGCTATGTTTACAATCATCCACAAAACTCATGCAGTACAGACAGTAGCAGGTGTAGTGTATCTTTCATAACATCTTTTAGTTTTCTAAAACGTTAAAAATCATCATGAGTGGCGAACCCGGTTGTTCTTCATCGAAAAACCCGTAAGAATTAATTTTTTTCGTGTTTTTGATTTCATAAGATTTTACCTCAATATGATTAAAAATAGTGTAATTATTAATTGGTGCAGCTATGGTTTTTCAACAAAACAACTACAAAACAAGGAATTTCAACGCAAGATAAAGGCGAGTAACGAGTTTTGGTTGAAAAAACATAACTGTACAAGTTGTACAACTTACTTTTTTAATAAAAGTCTAAAATTTATGTCGAAGTTACTTTGTTTGGTTAGAAAGAGAAAAGTGTATTATTAATTTAATTTTTAAAAAATTGTAATCTAAGTAGTTCTAAAATTCCTATTTTTTTAGGTACCTTATGGATAAAAGTGAAATCATTAAAGCACACCATAAGTTCTTATGGGATGACAAGGATCAAAATCCAGACACATATGAAAAGCGTTTAGCGAAAACCTATTATGATGACTTATTCAAAGAATACTGTATTGCAGATTTAAGTCGATATAAATCTAATCAAGTAATGATTTTAAATCAAGTTTGCATCTGTAGCATTATTAAAAATAATTAATTAATTTATTTATTTATTCATTTATTTATTTTAGATTGCTCTTCGATGGAGAACAAAGAATGAAGTACTTAGTAATAAAGGGTCAGAAATTTGTGGTAATAAAAAGTGTACATCAAAAGAAAACTTGAAGGTTTGGGAAGTTAATTTCAAGTACATTGAACATGGACAAAATCATAATGCATTAGTCAAATTAGGTAAATTTATTTTCACTCCTCAAACGAAGCAGAATATAAGAATAAACAGATGAATGATAAATTTTTTACTTTCAGCATTATGCGTAGAGTGTTCAATTATGTTGAATTACCATAAAAAACACAACCTGTTTGGAAAAAGTAGCAGTAAAAGTAAAAAACGAAAAAGCAAAGAAGGTTCAATTTCACCTAATCAAAAAATTAAAGTTGAAGTTGAAACCGAAGATGAGTCTCAAAAAGAAGAGAAAGCAAAAGAAGATAACATATGGACTAATGAGGATCCTGAAGAAAAGACCGAAATGAACACAGAAGAAAAAATAGATGCATATTTATCAGATTTATTTTAATTTTTAAGTAAGATGATTAGTTTTAGACTTGTACAAATGTTGATATATTTTTATACGTAAATAGTAGTTATGTAAAAATCCAAAGTTTTATTTACCGAAAATAAAACGCGTTTGAAAAAACGAATTAGAAATTTCAATTAGTCATTAAAATATGTACTTGATGAAATGAGTCAACGTAAACGTCAGTACGATTTAATGCTTCACGTTCTACGTTGTACCTACGAAACACATATAGGTATAGACACGCATAACTTCGTATCACGGATTAAGTTTGATATCGCTGGGATAGCTGGAGTTCGCGCGACACAAACATTAGTATGTGTTTCGATTCATGGGATTTTGAAAAATAGACGTCAGTCGTGTATGGTCGTTCGTCCTAAATAGTTCTCAATCGCCTAATAGTTCTCCGCATCTACAGTGTTGATATTTCAAAGTATTCTGGTAAGATTCTTTGATTTCTTTTATAACGAGATTAATTATCGAAAGAGCATGTCCCTATTATTCAATAAAAAAGTAATTTCACATTGAAATAAACTTTTAAAAAAAGTGTAGTTTAAAAGAATAATCGAATAATTAACTATTCAAAACGTTTCAAGTCGTGTACTTTAAAGAGTAAAAATATATTTGCATTAATTTTGATTTTACTGCCAAATACTTATACGACATCAAAGTGAATTCCTTTCTAATCGGATAAACATTTGATCTAAGGCATTGAACCTTATGTTGTACACAATAGCAACTATAAATCCTGTATTACCCCCAAAACTATAATCGCGCTATATTTACACTTGATTCAGTTACCTTAAAACAAAAGAAGTGTAATTCGCAATTCGTTCCTCGCAGCTCCCGCTCTTTGAGAAAAAAATGAACTCTACGAAAGTCTCATTGTCTTCGTCCTCGGACCAGTTGTACAATCAGCATAACATGCGATCGACGAAATCACAACAGCAACAGCAGCAGCAACCCCTCCATGGGCAGCATCACCAGCGCAAATCCCTCGAGCGAGTCCTCAAGTGCCCGAACTGCCCGAAGCTGTTCAGCCGCCAGGGCTATCTGCGCATGCATCAGGTGACGCATTATCCGCAGAATCGGCTGATCGAGTGCACGCGCTGCGACAAGAAGTTCTGCCGGCCGGGACACATGGCGTTGCACTTGCGCTCGCATCATCATCATTACTACGGCGGCGGCGATGGCGCCAATCGGAAAAGCAACAACAACAGCGTCCCCGCCAAGATTTCCAGTAAGGAATCGTCGTCGAGCGGTGGTAAGAACGTCGCCCAACGTAAAGCGACGACGGCTCAGCAGCAGCAGCCACCGGCTGAGAAACAAAAGACGTACGATAGGAAGTGCTATAGTGGCCCTAAGACGACGAACGACAAGCCAAAGCCAAGCGGCGGTTGCAACAAGAGAAAGAGTTCGATGCCGAGGAAACTCGTCGCTTACAAGGAGGTCGCGGGCGACGACAACGACGACTGGCAGGCCTATTTCGGCAGCAGCGGCTGCAGCTATCTCGACGAATCTCTGATCAACAACGTATTGAGGAAAAGGCAACGTCAGGACGAAAAACCGGTCGAAAGAGTATACGATATTTCGAGATTTTGAAGTAATTGGAACGCAAAAAAAAAAGTCCAACTAGTTTAACTGTTTTCAATCATAATATAATGATATATTTTCAAAATTTTTTCTCTTGTTAGACACTAAGAGATAAGCATGATTTCTACTTCGTAAGGTGTTGTTGAGTGACATTAATGTTAAAACTAAATCTAATTTAAGTGTTAACTGAACATTATTTTCTCATTTTTTTGTTGTCAGAATCATCGAATATTTACCACTAAGTGTAAGTACTTGTAAGAAACTCTATTTTTACTTGTTTGTGAAATTAGATAGAAAATAAAAATTACTTATAAGAATATTATGATTTTACAAAGCATTCATTGAGATAAGCGTATTCATCAAATATATTCGTTATTTAAACGTTTTTCCCCGAACTACGCGTAACTATTTTGATACAAAACATTTTGATACACTATTTACGAGTTTTCACGCGTGTATAGCAAAGGCATCGCTGTGTGTGCACGTGTGTAAGTGATTATTGCTCGGCTCGCCATTCGAAACACATTGTCGCTCTATTAAAACGTAAACATCAAAAGCGACGCGTACTCGTGTGTTTACATGTGTTTAAATCATTTCGCGCAATACGAAAAATCCATTCGCCGATCAAACGTTACATAGGCTATAGTCAAGTTATCATCTAACGTATATAGCCGATAAACATGAATTGTCCAACGAAAACTTTTTTAGTTTTGGCCTTGCTATCGCGACTCGCGGTGACACGGGTGAGTTTCTTTAAATAATCAGCATCGCCCAAAAAATATTATTCACTTCTTATTAACAATTTTAACTTCGACGCCGTAACAGACAAATGCTTCCTCATGCCACAAAATCGAAAATGATGAGCCTACTTTATGGGATGTGAGTACTTGCATTAGACAAATAATTTTAGAGGAAGAGATAAGTCAACAAATGATGCAGAAGTGTCTATTGGGATGCTTTTTCATGGCTACCGGTTTTGTAAGTTGAAACGTGGTCATTCGAATTATGATCGTTGAAATAATAGTTAATTTTAATTTTGGCTGCAAAATTTCATTACAGATGGGCCAAGAAGGCAATATCAAATTTCATAAATTCGAAGAAGTGGTGAAAACGCAAGAAGAAGCGATCGCGTTGAAATTGAGATTTTACCACTGCTTTCAGAAAGGTATAATAATATTATAATTTTTATGATTACGCCAAAAGAGGACTCGATCGAAATCTAAAATGGTTCCTTCAATTCTAGTCACAGAAGATCGCAGCCTCAAGCTGGTATCCTGCGAAGCGGCCTACTGCCTGGAACAGCTCGAACCCGTGAGAGATTTCATCGCGAGCGAAGCAAGAAAAAATAACCAGGATAACTTGTTTTATAAGGATAAGTCGAGGACTCCTCCCTACCTCCAAGGGAGAAAGCTTCAGGAACACGAGGCGAGAGAAGCTATTGTTTCAGATATTCGGAGGATGGTGTCTAATTCGCTGCAAGATTTTCTCTATCCTGCAAAGGAAGATGCGGCGAGTTCTGAAACGACCACTGAGGGAGTAGGCATTATTAGCTATGTGAACAAATTCATGTAGTAACTCGAACGTGAACGATCGTATCATTTTTTATCAACGACTGGTTTGACCTGCGTAATCAATCATTATATTAATTAGCTGCAGAATTTTATTTTGTAATCGTAAACGTTAAATTTCAAATTTCAAATATTTTTTATGTAAACAAGAACTTTTACTAGTTTGATGCTTTAAAAATTATACATATTTGACTTTTTTAATCTATTCTATAATTTTTAATTGTACGTATATTTGAACAAAAATTTTTTTTGACGAATGAAGGTGAAATAAAAGACATTGAAAATCTTTATATCATAGAATCTTTTTATTTCATCAGAAAATCATACAGCAAAAGCGTCGAAAGTTTTACAAGAACGAGTTCGCATCGTGTTCTAATTCAGCATTAGGAGGAACGTTTTTTTATTAATAATATTTTTTGAGAGCCCTTTGTCTTTCGTACTCATTTTATTTTACTTTTCTTCAATATAATAGTTAAAAATGTCCCAAGTGTCCTCTTAATTCGTTAAATTACAATTAAAGGTTTTTTCATTTTCTTTTATTACAATAAAATATTTATTAATACATATAAAGTATACGCTATATATCTAGAGTCGGAACGCGCGTACGAGTTTTTTTCAGCTATCTTGACGAGTCGACGAAAATTTAAGAAAAATCATGCGTTTCGTTAAATTTTATACAAATATCTCTGTACCTTCTTTTTTGTAAGTTTAATTTTTTCAAAACTTTGATCTATAATCATAGTTACAACTTATCAATTAGTAGTTTTTATACCTCGATACACGTGAGCTTCTTCGAGTGTTCTTCTTTTTTTTGGAGGACATGAAAATATATTATTTATATCATTTAGGATACAAAGGAACGAACAGAACGTATTTTTTTTTTTTTAATTTTTGTGGATGGAGGAATTTAAACTATTTTACAAAGTTATCGTGCGACGCGATCATCCTTATGTTAGACCTCCTGTAACTGTGAATTGCATGTATTTAATATGTATTCGCACATTATACAATCATTTAATTATGTTTAACACGTATATGTTTCTAGATTATACCGTAACTCGCATGGAATCTGACTTTTTAAAATGTATCAAACTGCTCTTAAACATTATTTTATCATCGGATACTTTTTTATTTAAAACTTAGATGCCTACAGAGCATTTTGCGACTGTAATCGATCGATCAATTTACTGATTTGATACATTAAGTAAATGAAAGCAATTGATTGCTTGCCTACAGATAAACCAGAATACTGACCGACGCGAGACAATCTGAAAACGACCCGTTCATCATTTCAAAGAAAGTTGAAAAACAGTTGCCTGTTGCCAAGGATTCTCCGAGGTTTTTTCGAGATAACAATTACTTTTTCCTCGATGCCTGAAGAATAGACGGAACGTCAAAACTGATTCAGAACTTCCTTACAGGGGAAAATGTATCGTCAACTTATATAAATTCTTAGAGCTAACCCACGTATAATTTACTACACATAACGTATCTTTTATATTATGTACTCTTAACTGTTAGTGACTGCTGTTTTTTTATAATTGCAAATAAAATGTATACGTATATAATTTCTCTTTTCAATGATTATACAATTGTTCAAACGTCAATGTGTACCATTTTTTACTTATATTTATAAACCACCACTATGTAATTATTATTTACATACATAATGTTTTGTGAGTAAAACTTTTCTTCGAATAATAAACAACAACTTTTATATCAAATTAAAATTGAACTTACAAAAATTGTTTTTTCCATAATATAAATGCAAAATTGATTTACATTGGTTTTAAAAGGTTTACAAAATGTTGTTTATTTGCAAAAGTACTAGGTGCAAAAATTTTCATTGGTTGTCAAAATTGTGGGACAAGATGGTCATGATGACTTTTAGTCTGAGATATTTTACTCAACGGCATCAAATTTTTGGTCTCGAGAACCAATGTTTTATCTGGTTTTTGTTCTTTGCTCAAAAATTGGTAAAATGTTACTTGATTGTAATCACGAAGATATAGAAGTAGAGAAATTTAAAATTTATGAATTTTTGTAAAATGATTCAAAGCAAAAATAATTAGGATATTCTCAATTTTTTATAGTTATAGTCATGAGGATGTTTGTGATGTTGTAATGTTTATTACAATCAGGAAATCAGATCTCTCTATGTATTATAATCAGTGTAGTAAAGGTTTAACTGGAATATTATAGATTAAATTACGATTTTGTGATAGGGTTGATAATTTTTGTGAATTGTCATGAATGAATCGACCATTGAAATACATTCATACAGTGATAGAGATCCTACATTTTAATTACTTACTCTTTCACAAACGAATGAATCGTTCCAATTCGTTCGAGTTTTAATTTGTATACAAGTTTTTTATTTTTATTTTTACTTCATTAATTTGTTTCAACAATTAGATTTTTTTATAATTTGTAGTTATTTGTTAATGTTTGTCTTTAAGTTGGAATAAGAATAAATCAACTTATACAAATTATTTATGGTTTAAAGTAATTGAATGAGTTGGAATTCTTTAATGACGATTAGAGAATGATTCTCTGTTTTTATACATACATATTATAAATCGATATCAATACGTATAGGTTTTTAACGTTTTATTATTTTAAGTTTTAGGTAATAGTTGCCATAGATGTTCGATATTAATATGAAGATATTTTCAACGCCCTTCATTACTTTTAATATGAAGTATTAATACATATTTAAGTTTTCCTTCTTTATTAAAAACCTTTTAAAACATTTTGAAAAAACCATTTACATTATCGATGTATCTGTATGTGTGTAAAAATGGAATATTTTTTGATTTATGGAGTAGAGTTTACGTAAAGTTTTGCGGACAGTACTTGTGTTTCCTTTACGAATTCAAAGAACTCAAGTGAAATTTCATATAAGAAGACAAAAAAGGAAAACGATGACTACATTAGACTTACTCCATTCCATTATCTTATATACAAAATCAGCTGTACAACACATTTCAACAATGTTCATTACGGATTTTCTATTAATTATTTGAAAAAAGCATAAAAAAGAAAATTTATCATGACCTGAAAATGGCTTAATTCTGTTTTAAGATCATAATCGATTTTCGATTTTGCCTTTTTCTATATCCTAACATTAAATTTTTTTACTGTAGCATTTTTGATCATTTAATTTTTTAATAGCTTTACAAAACTCGAGCGTGTTGGCTCTTCCCCGCGATTCAACATGGCAGTATCGATCGATATAGTATTTCTTTTATCATATACGATTATAATTTGGATGTTATATTCTTTTATATAAGTAAAATTCGGTTTTTTCAAAAGAAAGATTTGTTCGGTTTATTTTGATCATTTCTTCATTCGCATTATACAATTTCATATTCCTACGATCTTTTATTTTACCAGTGTATAATATCATTCGCAATCGGAACAAAAATGCTGAATGAACAAAAAAAAGGTACGGTACTTCAAATTGAATTGACTTTTTATTTTACTCGTATTGATTTATAAAATCAAGCGTTACAAATATAATGTTTGTATGGTAATTATATACGTTTCATTTTCAATTCACCTTTTTTTAATTTGAACGAAACAATAATATGTAAATTTTTTATGCTCATGCAGTAAATTAATTTTGTTTGTTCGATTTACTCACAAAAGCATTGAATGCCAATTTTTATTACTTGAAATTTGTTACAATTTTAAGTAGTCGTTTCAAAAAAATGTACACAGACATTTTAGAAAAATTTTAAATTACTAAATTCTATACTTTCAAGTAATGTTTATTGAAAATTCAAGAAATTTGTTTCATACAACGTACCTTTAGCGAAAAAATGTTTGTTCGATTGCTACTCATAAAGCAAATAATAGCTAGTACTCATTTCTAAAATTGTAATGGTCAAGCACACGTATAATCTATTTACGAATTTTAAGATTTTTTCGTTTATGTAATTACAACTAAGTTTTTATCATTTAAATTTTTTTTGGTACGATCAACGCTCTTTTATTCTATTTACCAAACTCTTAATATATCTTATACGTCCTTATATTATCGCTTTTAAACGACCACTGCACACATACACACGCTTAATAAATTATAACAGGCTATGTCATTATTTATCCTCGTTTTGATCGAGGCATATTACAATAAACCCGAATATGTGTATTACAATAGGATTCAAATCCGTTTCAGCAATCAACAATAGCAAATCAAATTTTTCCTGCGCGGTTTCCGAAGTCTTCCCTTCGTCTCCGAACTTTGATATTGCAATAGGCACATTATCTCATTACGACGCAAAAGCGAATCTCTTAAGATTTTTACTGAACATTGTTACTCGCTTTCTCTCTCTTGCAATTTTTACTTCAATCGTTTTATTTGATTTATAATTGTTTTTTATTTTTTGCAGAAAAAATCGATTCACCACTGTCGCGAATGAACGAATTTGCGTAAAAAGTTGTTTCTATAAGAGCGCATGTCGGAGACACCTTGTTGACCGATGGTGATGAGTGAATATAATATATATATAAACTTGCCCTCTCATTCTCTCTTTTCTCTTGATTTAAGCTCGTGCTTCGGCGCGTTTAGAGCAGCCACTTGACGATGAGAAATGTGATTATGTTCGGCACGATGAGGCTCGTAGCGCCGCTGCCGGTTACGTGCACGTCGCTCTCGCGCAGCATCGCGTCGTCGATCACGTGAATGATGCCGTTGGTGCAGGCCACGTCGGGTCGGACGACTCTTATCTTCTTGCCTTTCCATTCGATAATGTAGTCTGGAATGGGAGGGAAAAAAATGTTGAGATTTATGTCAAAATGCTGAGTGTACTGTTGTTTGTTTCGTATACGTATTTCGAGATAACGTGACAAGCAAAGCAGCCCTATGTTTCATGTATAGAATACATTTCATATTTTTTCCCCATCTGATTATTGAGCGTGTTGCATTTGTGTTTTTTATACGGATATCTATACCCTGAACCAAGAAAATATAATTGCAAATAAAAATATAAAAATGTGTATGAAATGAAAATACTGTCTATGTGCATCAAAATATATATAGATAATAAGATTCGTATTGCATTGTAATTCAAATATAAAAGTGAAATTAGTAGAATAGCGGGAAGTAATAAAACTGGATAACGAAAGGTCGATAAACCAATGAGCCAATAAGCAATCAAATAAAAGCGTGTGATAATCATAACAATTTCCTAGTTGAAATATTTTCATTCGTTTTTTGCGACAAAACTTTTCATCCTATTTTGAAGTAGCATGTCATACTTTCCAAACTCGATTTCTGCTCTAGATATAACAGTGTAAAACAGTACTGCTCTCACAGCTAGCTCGCAGGTCAGTTTCCCGTAAAACCGTTTTAACTCAAATGAATAATCTAAACACTTTTACACACGATGAAAAGGCGAATAAAAAAACTTCCAGAGAGTACATTTGGTTAAGTTATAAGTAGGAGGAAAAAAAAGGGTAAAAAGGCTTTCTCGTAGCAAGGAGAACACGTCGCAATTAGCGCTCACCATGGCTAATCAAGGAATTTGCATTTAAATGGTCCCCGCCTTCTACCAAAGGTGCATAATTAATCGTCGCGCCTTGCTAGAGTGCCATATAATACACGTTAACTTTTCACGCTTACACCGAGTTGGACACGTACACTTTTTTTCCTCGATAAAAGAATAAAGAAAAAGAAAATAAGAAACAAATTTTATGTATGAAGACAAGTTACGAGAGGCAATACATCGATGTACTATGTGATGAATCGAAATAATGGTAGAGAAAAATTACGGTTTTTAGCGACAGCTAAAGGCTACTGTATGATTTAATTGTGCTGACATTGTTAATCACACTGTAGATATAGGTACGATGATGTGTCTTTTTTCCCATATGTATGTTTGATTGATAAAAAACACATCATTCAATAGTAAAAGCAAATTTTTTTTTATATTATGCATCGCACTGTATATGCTGATGCTCTTTTTGATTTCTTCTTTTTTTTTTTTTATGAAAACTCACCACCATTCGGGTTTGGATTATCGTTCGCACTATCGTCTAAACCCCTGACGTCTAGATGTAAAATAATAAAGAGAATGAAAAAACATGACTGAGCGATTGATCAATTCATTTCAACTAATCTAATGAAAAATACGCCAATACGCTTCGCTAACGATTTCTAACGAAAAAAAAAAAAAATACTTTGTGTACTAGAAAAAATCGCTGATCTCTCTATGAACGCGATTACAAAACCGACAATTTAATTGAGTCAATTAAGAATGAATAACGTCATAAGTGAGAATAACTTACTGTCTCCGACTTCCTTGACACTGATGGTCAATTTGTCTCTCATTGTTTTCAGATGGAGCGTATCGTTGCGATCGAGCTCGACGAGCTTCTTCATTGTCAGCGCCTTGCCAACGACCAAGTGTCGCTCCAGAATTTGTCTCACCTGCAAAATGCATTTGACACATGATATTGTACCCAAGTTATCGTCTCATCGAGGTAAAATAAAACTTACGTGATAGGCGAAATCAGCCATAAACATCTTCTTGTGCAGCGACGGCTGCATGACTTGCAGATGCTGCCAGGCCCGGTCCTGTGGCGCGAAGAACGTATAGCGCTCCTTCTCATTGCCCAACAAACTGTTGAAGTCGTGACGCATGCCCAAATGATACGTCGAGCTGCAAAAATAGTTCAAAATAATCAACGTGTCCTTAGAAATTCGAATCGCATCGATGTATAGTACACAGCATGTCCGGGGGGCGCCACACAGACAGGCTTATCCCAGCACGAGCGAAGTCAATTGAATATTTCCGTGCAATTAGCTATTGAATGGATTGCTCCACTCACTGCCAGTACGGATAAGTCGCGCAGATATATATACGAGCCAAGGCCTATGAGAGAGTATATATGTACGAAATTGCCAATTTACTTGCACGGCATATAACGAGACCTTCTTTGAAGTCTAATCCTTGAAGGATTATACATGGGGACTTTGATCCTAGCTGTTATTGAAACGCGTACTGCTGCTGCTGCTGCTGGCCGTGCAGCTGCGCGCGACAAGACAGAATAGTTATTGGAATGATAAATCAGTCAAACGGCGGTAACCCAAATGACGTAAAGCGAGACTCGCTCTCTCGCTTCGTTTTAACCCCGAGATGGTCTCAAAATAAGCCGTTACATTATCTAAAACGCGGCTGGGGAAAGTTTTAATTTTTACTCGATAGTTCGTTGTTCTTTGCTCGACTCGCCGCCCCGGAATGCTTATACAAGGGAAGGATAACAGCAGTAGCAGTAGCTTACCAGTGCCCCCCAGTAATTGGAACGGAAATTTGTTGCGTTATTTTAATTAAATTTAAGAGTAAAAGAGCGAAGGTAAGGAAAATGAGTTTTTTCGTTACACGTTGGATGGTGGCTATATATCGCGAAAAAGAGAGAAAGAAAGAGAGAAGTTTCAAGTATACAATCCAGACATTGCGCATCATTACCTATTATTACAGTGTTGCTTTTTTTCTTTTGCTTTTGCTTTCATTTAATTATAATCAACGAATTTTGATTCGGAATTCATTTACGTTGCAACGGATCGATGATATAATACCGAGCTCTCATCGGCATTTACGCGGTAATGTAGCAACGAAAAAAGTACAGAGAGAGAGAGCTCAAAGAAGATTACAGCTTCTACTCAATTATCGATGCAGTATTATAGATATACAGTGCACTCGTATACGCACATCGAAATAGAGACTCGAGTAAATTCGAAATCCAACATGCTAGTGAAAGAGAGACCCGGAGTCGGTTATATAAATAGAGACGAAATAAATTAATTTGATTCGATCCAAATGAAACACACCGGTTGCCTCCCTCTCACCCTCGCTTTTCCTCTCTTTCTATGTCTCTATACTCTTAGTCGAAGGAAGCCGATTGATTTCTGTTTGATATATACACAGAATTGAAGGGCACGGGAGGCAAAGAGGGGATATTTTCCTCATTGGAAATTGAAAAGTCGCAAAGATGAAAAACATTGCATCAGCCAGGCAAGTAGAACAAGCCTGGGTAAAGTCAGGCGCGCGGGTCTGCTAAAAAACTTACTTGAGAGTCGGATCCGTTCGGAGCTTATCGAGCAGAGTGGTGTATGGCACGCCGAGCACTCGGTCGATTATGTGGATGATGCCGTTGGTCGCGCCGATGTTGGCCGTGATGATGGTCGCGTTGACGCCACCACCCTCGACCGTCACCGTGTGGTTGCCCGACGGTCCCTCGACAACGTTGAAGTACAGGCTCGTGCGAGGCTGGGCCGTCGGTACCTGTTGGGATCAAGAAACGATTAGTGGCTGCGTTTGGATGTGTAAAAACAAAAATGGAGAGTAAAAGATATTAATTTTTAAAATATATAAATATTTCACATGGACAAATGTATCTATGACACAGTGCTTAGCACATACATACACTTACACACACACACGTACAAAAATATGTTAAGTTGCATTATTTATTGTTTCTGTTCATGAATAAATGCAAATGAGTATTTTATAAATGAGTGAATAATATTGATTCATGGTGTAAATTAATAACGTACTACATCTACTTGCTGAACGAAAGAAATTAAAAAATCATTCTCGACTAACAGATCGGATGCATGCACGCGTACAGCGTACGACAATGTGTTATATGGGAAAAATTAATTAGTCAGTCCAAAGCCTTTCGACGCGGGAGCAAACGACAAGCCCCTGAGCCTATAAGTTCGTACATATAACCGACTTCCAAATTCCGAGAACGCACGGCGGCGGACATCCCCCAGCCCGGTTTTAACTTGCAAATTGAGCGAGCACGTACCGACCAAGTCCTACTACGATCTCATGAATATTAGCTATTCGATGGGATTTTATTCGCTTTATATATCGACGCGGACTGCAAGCGCAAACACGACCGATTATTAAGATCGACGAGTTCATAATTTCTCTCTTTTATTTTTTTGGGAGGGGCTTTTAATTTTATACTCTGGACGAAATTCGTACATTTTCTTAAATAAAAAAAAAAAAAAAAATAGACCCCCTCGTGATAATTAAGGCGTCAAAAAAGTAAGCGCGTCTCGTTTGAATACAGAAAGATAAGAGAGAGAAGACAAGACTATAGTACCACTGCAGTGGCCCTACTAGAAAATTTGCATAACTGTTAATGTAACTCGGTATATACTCATTGCAAATTTGTCTGCAGCAACGTGTCTCTTTCTTGCAGATAGAAATAAAATTTTCGACTTTCTGCAAAAAGCGTCGCGTGACATTATATATGTTTTTTGAGCAAAAAGAGAGCCCGAGTTACGAATGGAAGTTTTCAATTTAAAAAGTTTGATTGGAATTCAACGCTGTACATGGCGCAGCGTTGATTAATTATGCCCGGTAAACGGAAAATTTTTTTTTAATTACAAGTCATCAAAAATATCATAAACTAGATTATAATTATAAGTTGTACACGCAAGTTTTAAGTTAACAGTTTTAAATATTTCGAGTATATATGGTAACATGATTTCTATACACAACAAGAACAACTTCAATTTGGGTTGCTGCAAAAATAAGGCTCATTTTTTTTCCTGTAACTATAATGCGATTCGAGTTTTTTTGTTGCTACTATCATTTGAAACACCAAGAAATAAAACCTTCGAGAAAATTACCAAGTAGCGGTCGTGAGAAATTGTTTTAAGGAAAGAACTCAAATTACTCTTGAGAGCGCGAAATATACGGGTGTAACTTCAGGTACATTTTTATATTTTTTTGGGGTATTATCCAGAACATATGATAAGGCGAAGAGTAAAAGATGTTTAAACATGCATTAAGAAGTTTCAACTAGAAAATTAACCGAACGAAGCCCCGAATTTTAATATGAGTGAATATTTCATGAGATGGATAATAGATTATTTCAATGATGATTAAAATTATTTAATGGTTATTTCAATAACCATTAATGCAACAAATCGCCGATCTACTGAAAGCCCATTTAACATTGGGTGGCTTATTCTATATAATTGAAAAGAAAATCCAATCACGAATCCATAGTTGATTGCAATTACTACTTCACGTAATCAAAGTTATAAAACGATACCCGATTATTCACTTCGCTTTCTCTTTCTCTCTCTCTCTCCTTTCCGAACGTCTCTTTTAATCAGCCCCGTGATATAAGTTAAACCACTTAAAGAAAACATCTCTCGCCCCCGATTCCTTTTAGTTTCAACGATTCTCGCGCAGATAATTAGACGGCTGCCTCCTCACTCGCGCGCTACATGATCGTGTTCCAAATGTAGAAGCGTTTTTCGTTTTCGTTCCCTCTCGACTCTCTTTTTTTTATCGATCAAACAGTGGATGTTACTTGTCAGGCCTTTTTTCCTATTTTTTTGCAGTATTTTCTTCTCCAGAGGCTAAAATTACTATATAAAGTTTCGTTACGTAATCGAACGTGTTGAAGTGAAAAAGAAAAATAAATCATGCAGGTGAGAGGGTGACAAGAGGATGAAGCAATACTACTGTTTTTTTCTTAGAATTTATTGGTAATTCTAGATTTTAAAGTAAAAACGAAAAAAGAGGTACATTTATAGACAAATGTGCTAAAAGTAGTAAAAAATTAATTACCGAGTAATAGGCCTTACCAGACCAGAGAGGCTTTGCAAAAAATTGGAAAAAAATTGTTTTATACCATTAGGAATCTGAATGTCATTGTGAAATGATAAAAAATTTTATGACATATTTCATGATTATAGTTATAATACTGCTCCGGGATATTATTATCCTACGTTAAAAGTTTATATAATACTCGGAAAACAATAGTATGATTTACAGTGATTCAAATTTTACAGGATTTATGCATGATAGACGATTGATAGTTAGTAATTTTGAAAAAAAGTATTATAAATTGATGTTTTATCTCCACAAACTGCGACTCAAATGTCAATTCTTTCCAGTGCTTATAAAAACAATAAATCACTCTCCAAAGTATAAAAGCACTAAAGCAAATGCCAAGCGAATAATATATTTTATTACACAACGAGAACTCGAAAGCTTCGGTACGTCGAACTACCGGCCGTACACGTTGATACGGGAAACTCTTCACTTTTCTCTCTCAGTTTAAAACGTGTATGAAATTCGTAACGCGCGCAGAGAGCAGCAGAGAGCTAGCCTGGAGCTCTAAATTGCGACAATCACTTACCTGTCTCGTGGTTCTTCTCTCGATGACCTCCAGCGGTAAATAATCCCGCACGTAGTGAAGATTCAGCAGTTCCTTGACGCGCTTCTTGTCCTGCAGAATTTGCTTCACGCCGGGCTCGTCCCAGGCGGCGTTGCGCGGCGCGAACAGCGTGATATTGCTGTAGCGCGAGGCCTGTCGCATGAACTCGTCGCCCTGATCCCTGATGACTTCGTAAAATTTGTAAAGCGGCCCGTCCTCCTTGTCCTGCGATGGCAATTTTGTGTTTTTTTGTCGGAAAAAAGAAAAATTCAATTAGTTTCAGGTGAATTGTGCCTCGCGAGTAAAATCGATGATAATGTTTAAAAGCCTGTGTTTAGAACAAGCCAGATAAAATAACTTTAAGTGTTAACGTGGTTTTTATTTTCACTCGAAAAATTATTTCCTAACTTTGAAATAAAGCTGATTTAGCGAAACCAAGGAAAATAGCGGCAACTGAAGTAAAATTTGATAAAGTGAGTCGAAAAAAGGAAATTAAATTCCAGACAAAATTACTTCTAATCAGTGAGAGGAAAAATAAATAAAATTACACAGAAAAATTTCAAAGTCAAACGCGAAATTATACATTAATCAAAGCAAGCATTACTGTACAGTCGAATGAGAAATTCAACCAATTATTCAACAAGTAGATTATAAATTTGGAAAAACACGTTTTAATTAATAATGTGAGAACAAACACTAAAATTTTAAACGAACACCTAAGCACACATATTAGAAATCGTTAATTTATCGAATATATACAATTCTTCATTTATTTATGATTTACTAAATATTTCAAGAACTAACGAATAAATTACATGCTATTTTTTAATTTGATAAAAATAATTCGGTAAAAATTAAAGAACAAAATTCCAAAGAATTAACATAATCAATGAGATCAGAGAAATGAAAATAAAAAAGTTAACTTTTTTGGCTAAATCCAATTCACTACAGACTTAAACACGAGACTATAGATATTTCAGAACACTTGAATGTTACATTATATAGTATATGTGATGAAAACACATTTCATAAATAATAATCCTTATTATAATCGTATCAATGATTGAAATGTGCTGTATATTCTAAATAAAATGTGCGTAAATATACTCTTTTGTTAATTATTACAAGATTTATATTTTTTATACACTTCGTTTCATAAGTTATTCATTATGAAAGTTCGAACAATGGTCTATGGAAACTGTATACTTTTTGCCATATCTTTCATAATTCATACATCTGAGGGTAATTTTCAATTAATAATGTTCTCTCACATTTAATACAATAACATTATAATTTACTTAAAAGTACGTGGTAACCTGTAATTGCGTGTATGAATGGATTATGTGTTAATAATTTACTTCAATGGATATTTTGTGTATATATGAGCTGTGTATGTTTTTGTTTTTCATAATTAGTACTTACGATGCCCTACACGACATGCAGAGTCCAATAGAGACATGCAAAGCACCACAGAATAACATACTTGAGTCAATATAAAATTATTCAAAAAACATCAATTGTAAAAAAGGTATAAATAACACAAAAATTACGCGATATACTTGAGAAATCATTTAGGTATAGCAAACTCTAATTCAAGTTATAAAATCGAGCATTCATGGATCTTTTTATCCATTGATTAGAGTTTCTACTGCAGTTGCTAATTTTATTTTTAAAAAATCAATAAAATTTTTCGTCAAAAACGGGTTAAAATTAGTTTTTTGTCCGTTAATACGTACAATAGGTAAAACTCATACATAGTAACTAAAATAAAATTGATCAAAACATATGTCAATGATGGATTTTCGTCGATGATGTCGAATTCGTATGACTATTTTGCACACGAAGCGCGTTCGATTTCATGATTGAATTTTTTAATGTAAGGCGAGTGAGTCGAGTTCTTAGACGTACGAGCGATACTGATTGGAGCTTTTGCGCTAGCACTACTTATGATTCGATTCAGCGATCAATGAACGTGATTGGTTGAAGCTGATATTTGCACAGCATTCGTGTAAGGGTATGAATAACTGAGAAAATTCACACGGAGTTGTACTGATTCACGCGCCATCCGACCATGATCTATGAGGTGAATGAGAAATATGTATTTCTACGTTATTTTTTATTTTTATGTATAATTTCTTATTGATATAAACAAATATTCTATCTAAGATGTTACCGTGTCTACCTGCCGTTGCCATCTACATCTAGTTGAGACGATTACACAGTCATTACTTTGATGAAACAGCTCTCTGCCTCTCTTTCACGTTTATATACACAAAACTTTAATATTACATAATGAAGTGTGAAGCAAATTCACATTTTCGAGATCGTTGTTCATAGCGAGCACGTGGATTTACGTGGACTTACTTGGATTATTAATTTGTGCGTCTCACACAATCTCGTTCCCTTGCGTACATATTCAAACAATCGGAAATACGCGAGAAAATTTGCTTATTACGCGCGTCTCTTCGTTTCGTTCATTTTTTCTTTTCTTTTTCCATGTCACAAAGCTTTTCGTCGCGCATAAAATTTAATAATAATTCTTTTGCGCTATTGCATTCTATTTGGTTTCTCCCTCGCTCGGCTGCGGAATGAATCTATTCATATCGCGTTGGGTTGGAGATGAAATCGCATCGGTTTTCCGCGTGTAATTAGTGGGCAGATTTCCAATTTCGTGTGCGTTGCCGGTGTGGAATGCGTCGTGCCGTGTATACGCGTGTATGTATGTAGTATCGCTGTATATAGAGCTGCCCTGCTCCGCGCGCGCAACTGGATAAACGTGGCGTACATTCATATAAAAGGCGATTTTCTGTATGCGTAACGGTGCAAAAGCCTCGTGGTGCTATAAGGGGGGGNGGGGGGGGGGGGGGGGGGGCAGGAAAATTAAAGCACGGAAAATTTACTCGTGTAAAATAATAATTCCTCGCGGCAGATCATAGAAAATATAATAAATGATGTTTTCACGTGCGCGCCACGAGAGCACCGTGTAGACGTAAATAGAAGTATTTTTTTTATTTTTTGCAAGTTCCATCGCGAGACGTTCGAAAAAATTGTTATAAAATCCCGAATCGTGGATATCACGTATTCCATAACTACTCGCCAGTTAAATTAAAATGGACATGATTTATTTTTAATGGTTGATGCTAAAAATAAACGGCTCGGTCGTTTGTTCAACGGGTGCATACCATCTTTTTTTCATCCCGACCAGATATAGCGTAGCATATATCGTTTTCCTGGCAGAAAAATCCCGCACCCGTAATTTTTAACTACTAGTAAAATGGACAATAATTGATTTACAGGTTGGCAGTGCCAGGCGCGCATCTATACGTGTGCGCGCCGAGGATAAACGTTAAAAAGACTAGAAAATAGAAGGATTTTAGATTTTCACGTCAGTCACGTATAGTCCATACAGATAACCCGAGCACGCATACACATACGGCAACGGCTTGATTAAATTTTGTTTCCCCGCTAAATCGCGACCTTAATTCCGTTTCGATTTTTGCGAGCGAATCGAGTGCCCAATGAATATTCCTCTGAACGTGATGCACTGCTAGCACGCGCGGTTGGAGTAGAGAAAAAAAAGTTTATAGCTCATGCTATATACGTTTCCTAACGAAACTAAATAAAAACAACGACTCCATTAAAATGGGGAGATTTTTTCACATTCACCTCGACGATGCACGGAAAAGAGCAACAACGATGCACGACAACCGATAACTGCGTTTAAATGTTAGATGTTTTTTTCATTGATTACTCGGTAAGATCAAACTTTTATGGGCATGTTATTCAACGCTCGTACTGCTGCGCGTATCCGACATTAAAAATCGTTCGATTTAACGCGACGCGTATAACATGTTCCGGGCGTGCATATGTGTCGTGCGCGCGACGCTTCGATGCGCGAAAAAAGATGTGTGCGCAAGAAAATTTATGGGGTTTGTTTTGCTCGTGCCTATGAGCTCATACGTATATAATGCGCGAGTGCCGTAGCGTACTACACGAAGTCGAGCTGAGTTTCGAGATTTTTCAATGGAGACGCGACGATATTTTTCAAGGCTTCTTACACACGAGATTCTCACCCGCTGTGAGCGCGCACAGGGGTAGTTTATCAGCTTTCCAGAAAAACGAGCATGCGTTGACAGGTTGATTTTCAGCTATTGCCGACGATTAGTCATCCTTCCTTCGTGCGCGCTTCCTTTCTCTTTTCTAGATTAAGCGCGATCAAGTAGCAAAAAAAAAAAGATAAAAACAAAATCTTCTGAATCATATGCAACGAAATAATTGTACATACGAATAAGCTCGTGTATATAATACAGTAAGTCTCGCAGGTATAGAAATGACGTTTAGATTAAGGCGCGGCATACGTTGTTCTCTCCACAATCGACCAAATGGAGTATTATGTGGAATCTTGCTTGAGGGATTAACTCGTTATACACCTCCAGTGGAATACGGTATTACGTTCGTTCTTCAGTTTCCGCATAACGTTTCTCTAAGCTGCCTCTAATATATCTATTCTCTCCGAGCAAATATCATTATTTTCCGTTATCGCTGTTTGTTTATTGTTTCTCTATTTTTTTTTCTTCGTTTCGTGTCTTCGGCCAACATTACGCCACCGAAAAGTTCAACTACCGAAGCTTGACCCTTCCTGGTTCGGTACGATATGTATGTAACCACCAGTCGCATGCATGGAAAATCAAAGATAAAATACGCGAGCATATACGCGCGGTAAATCAACATCATCACCGCGGCCACACGAGAGCAAGCGACGTCGACTGTGTGTGCCGTGTAGCTTATGATTTGAACGCCCGAAATTCTCTCACTCATCAAGATCTCTCGAAGAAGGTATGTGTATCTGTATATGTGTGCGTACGTGTGAATCTGTGCGACTGAATGTACATATTCTCCGGTTATATAGTGCACAAACCGAATCTCTATGTAGATCTCCACGTGTTGAGGAGATGCTTTCATCGTCATGGGTTATGCATACGCATGCAGCAGTAGCAGCAGCGAAAGCAGCTGTAATACGCTGCGATCCTCTTTCTCATTCCCTCGCTCTCGCCGTGGATGGCATTATATTAGGAAGCTTCGAGGGAGGAGTAGCACAGAAGCCGAGAAGTATGTATAACGTAAAATTTGCAATCGAGCTTTGGTTCGTGTGTACAATTAACGATGCTCCGTGAAATGTTCATTAAATTTGACGCGAATGCAATTTTTTCGATAAAAGCGCCCGAAAAAAATCAAATTTTAATTTAAGCATCAAGAATGAAAATGAAAATCTCGTGAAATTTTTGTGTAAAATCAATGGCAATGCCGCTGCCACTGCTGTGTTTGACTGCAGAAGCTAATTTGAATAAAATTCAATCCGAGATATTCTCTCTCTTACCAATTAGAATTTCTTTTGCAAAAGATTACAAAGCAGTGGCGTTTGTGTTGGTAAAAGAGCCGTGTGCAAAGACTAGAGAGGGTATCAAAAGCAACAAAAAAATATAAAAGGAGGGAGAAAGAGAAAGAGATTTAGTCTCTATGATTCTTTAAAAAAACTCGGCCACAAAAAATTTCAAGTAAAAGGTTTGGGTCAATGCACTTGCAGTGGAAAAAGAGAGCTTGAGCGAAATCATCATCACAAAGAGCAAACAAACACTGACACACTTATGCACACACTGAGGACGAGGGAAAGCACTTGGTATATAGCAGTATTTTTTTTGACTTTTGGATATACAAGATGCTGGATTAGTATTCAGAGGAAAATTTACGTGCAGTGTATAATTATTACGAAAGAATTTATCTCGTCATTTACGTTACTTCAGTTTTGTAAAAAAGTTCAAGTTTTAGAAATGGCAAATGACGAGTTAAAATTCATTTAGAAATAAGTGATTATAATGATGAAAACAGGCAATAATGAATGAAACAGATAGAGGTAAAGTAAGCGAAAAGTTTGATTTTTTTAAGAATAATATGTGAATACTTCTATAATGGAGATGTGAACGATGATGATTGATTATTTTGATAAGTATTAATGAATTGAAAGATGACACAAATTTTCATAAAATGTGATCGAATGATACATCTCTCGCGAAAACATCGTTCATATCCGTTATTATAACAAAAGATGCAGCTAATGTTTCTTGAATTGATAGAGTAAGTATGAGAAAAATTTTAAAAATGGTATAAAAAACGTGTTATTAATTAATGTAGTAATAAAACAGATTTTAAATTAGTAAGAAAAAATTACGAAACAAAATGATAATAATTATTACAAGTCACACAAAAACTTGAGAAAAAATTTCAAACAAAAATTATACATTAGTTATATTAAATAATTAATTATATCGGTAAGTAAAAAATAAATTGTCGGACGAATGATAAAATTACCTTCCAGGACTGCATTTTTGATCGATTAAACCATATGCCATGTGAGTGGTTGGGGTTGTGTAGGAGGAGCATGTAAAATGATGGCCCATAACATAAGAAGCAAGGAACAAAAAACAGAAAAAACAGGAAGATTCATATTAGATTATTTATGATTCCATATTTTGTTGTTTGCATTATCTGTGGTAAAAATATGTATTTTTATTGTAATATAACTAATCGATCGTCCATTGTTTCACTTTCTTTCTTTAGAAAAAAACAATAAACGATGCCGTACAAAATCGTTTAATTGATCAAAAGATTAAATCTAACTTTCGTATACCATCAACACTGTTGTACATGTTACGAAAATCCAAAAATTTTCACTTATTAATTTTCTAAATTAAGTAATACTCTACTGTTTCATAATATAAATCAAATATGCGATGCCTCAAATTTGTTTTGCCTTATCGCTTATAAACTCGTACATAGAGCGATGCATCCATAGGTGTACGGCCACCACGACCTTAATCTGCCTTCATTATTAATTACTTGGTTTATCGACTAGAATTTACCAAAAATATTTTCAAAATCATTACGAGTACCAATTATCTTTCCTGCTCTCGAGTTTTGATTTGAATTTTCCGACGCGCGCGTTGTCAGCGAATAAGTACCTTTCCGAAAATGATTGCCAGAGCAAGTCATACCCTCTGACACGTACATAATATTTGTGAGAGCAGCGACTGGCAATAAGGTACGTATTCTGTTCACGCGTTGTACCAGACAGCTGCCCGAACAAATGTTAATTAATCCGCTTTATATTCGTCTGCTTTTACATACATATATGCACGGGCCCCGGCCGGCTTTTCATCTAAAAATATGAGCTTGCTCGTTTTAAAATAATCTCGAGCTTTTTTCGAGTGTTATATACGAAGGAGCGATGTGTGATTGATGGACGAGCCTCATTTTATCGGAAAAGGGTCAAGAGATATAAATTAGACATATATCATCGATACTTTTGGTATATCGTATCTCATATTTTATAGATTCATAAAACCATATATTCGAAAATTAAATGTATGTGATTTTTTTTGTACACCATAAAAAGAAGGGAATATTTGATGCATACAGTTTCACATACCAGGAAGAGCTATGTTTTTATTTTCAAGACAGCGCACAGCTTCCGTTCAATTTTTTTGTACTAAAAAGAAAACCGTATTCCATTCCTAAGCCTTCGTCGTCAAGTTTTTTTCCTCCTTCCAGCGGTGCCCGAAGTGAAAAAAAAACCCGAGTCTCATTATTTATAGACTAGGATGAATTGAAAAATCGGACGGCCTTTTACTCGGTAAAATAGAATTATAATAAGACGCAGACACTTTTTACATACGCGAATCGATTAAAATGCACAGGCGCAAGTATATCGAATCTGGTAATCTCTGGGTATATTACCGCGCGCTCGAGCCGAAAATTTAATCAAGTTTCTCTGGTTCTCGGTGCGTGTCTTGTTAAAAAAAAAAGAAAGAAAGAATGAAAAAAATGAACGCTTAATAAACCGGTAACTCTTTGCTCTCGAAGCCGTAAAAAGTAACTTTCTCAATTCACGTTATTTCGTGTAGCCACTGCTGCCGCCGCTGCCACCGCCACGACCGCAGCCGAGTACATATCCAGCTACTATAGATGCGCGCGTATTCCGCGAGCTCTCCTCTGGCAAAGCTAATCCTCTCTCCGGTTAGTTTTACGAACAAAGAACCAACTTTTCTATGTTATTTTTTTTATCCGATGTGGCGCGTGTGGATCTAGGTGTAGTACGCGAGAATGTGCAAAGAGCGAAGTTGCGTACACAGACCGTGTATTCATTTATGCATACGAAATTCCGTAAGCAACTTTTTTTACTTTGTTTCCACGATCTCGTCGAATAAATTGATACGAAATTAATCGGCGAATAATTAACAAAGAGAGAGCGATGTACCGAGCGAGCACAATGACACCCCATAACGCGTTTGCTTTATCCACGCGTGCCATCAGAAAAAAAGTAGAGAATCTTTACTCGTATGAAATGAAAAATTTTTTAAAAATGTTCACACTATTGTGAGCGCAACAGAGTAGAGGCACAGACGAGTAGCATCTGTGCCGCGCCAAGCTCGAGTGCGTTGCGCGCGGCATTGTCTGCTATTCATGCAGACGCACAATATACACATATACATACTCCATATATAATATAAAAAAGAGAAGAAGCAAAAAAAAATCCCCGTCGTAATATTCGTCGCGAGAAAAAAAAATTCGAGAAATTTTCATACGGCGGGGGCGGCCGGGGGTAAGATCGAATTTCCTCGTGTGCCCGCGCCGCTACTACTACGTCGCAGTACCGTAGGCAGAAAATATTCACGTCTCAGAATCTATCCTTTTTTATGACTGCAAGCCTGCTGCTCGTATGCTGCTCTATACACGTACGCATAGAGCGAATAAATTGTAGCGGCTCCGAGAGCACGACAATGACGACGACGATATTTCATATTTGTACTGATTTTTCATTTTTCCTTTTTTTTTTATTTTGGCTTCATTGAAATTTCCGACGCTTCCTCAATATCAGCTGTGCTTAAAATGCATACGCATGTGTACTTCCGATTGAGTACTTCCGACGTTTTTCTTTACATTTTTATTTATAACGTAATATAATGTTTATATGAACTTTCCACGACGTATCAGCAGGATTTAAATTTGAAACATACTTTGTTCAGAAATACAAAGATTGTAATAAAAAAGTTCATACGATGACGGTTTTCAAAATTAAAATTTTGAGCCCACATTTTACTCATTACTTAATTACAATGCATAGCTTGCGTTTTCGACGCGCGTAAATATTTTTGGTTGGGGGGTTTGGTTAATTAGCAAAGCATAATAAACAAAGTTAAATAATAATAAATCTTTTTGATTTTTTCCTCATTATTCTAAAACGAAATCAACGCATACGTTGGCGATTATTTTTCCCGTCGAGAGCTTGCAAAATATAAAATTTTCTCAACGAAAATATTTTCATTTTATCCATTTAAATTAAATTAAACGACATCAAAATGATTGAAAAGTAGGATTTTTAAAATTTTTTGCAAGCGACCAAAAAAACTTGAGGAGTTCCCTCAGAACCTGACCTACAAATCGGGCATATATCTAGAAAAAATCTGAAAAAATTCATACGCTTTCGTTGACAAATTCTAAGACCTTTTCGTTCCTTTCAAATTTTTCGTAGATTTCATACTTATCGAGATAAAAAATCGCAAAGATTCATTGCTTGTTGAAATTGTTTTAATTTGAATCGATTAAAGCTCGTGAAAAATAAATAGTAGAGACAATTTGCAAGAGCACTTTTTTGTTTAAAGTGACCCTAAAAACCTTAGAAAGTGGGTTTGAGGTCAAAAAGTTAAAATTTTTATTTTTGCAATGTTTTTACATTAACTTTTCTCAAAAACTGTTCAGTAAAGTTTTTCCAGTTTTTGAGGTAGGTTTCAGTACATACTGAACAATCATCTCCTAATTTTTGAAAAGATTTTATCGATGCGTTTTTTTATAATCACGGAAAATAGCGTCTTTTCGACACGCTAGCATAGGGATCCTATGTTAAAGTATCGAAGTTTGATTAATTATATTTCGGAAATGATTTGGTTAAAGTTCCTGACATTTCTCATATATGAAAAGCACTTTCAATAATATGTGGTTAAAATTTCAAGACCCTTTATCGATAGTCATTTTTTTTGAGGGAACTACCTTAAATCGTCAAAAATGGAAACTACCAAAAATAAAGGAAAGAAATTATTTTTCAGTAAAGCACTCGCCTTCGTCTCGTAATGTAATCTCTCGTTTTGGTAAAAACTCATTCCCGAAAACTATACCATTTATAATGGAACGTTAGCAGAGTTATATTTTGTTTTTTTACAAAATTTTAAAAAAATTTAGCAGATTTACATTATATTTTGGCGCAGGAGAAAATTTCAAGAAAAAAATACAAGTTTAATGTAATTTTAAGCTTTTAAGAGGTTTACATGTGTTCTTCATAACTATATCAGACTTCACATTTTCATGTTAACAATACTAGTAAAGTATTAAATTGACGATGGCCTACCCCGTAGCTAGAAAATTTATTAATACATCGAGAAGTTTCAAATTAATTTTTTCCATCCCTCCGGCAAAAGTATTTACTTTCGCCGTACGCGTAGCCTAGAAAAAGAAGGACTTTTGCCCACTTTTGCGCGCCCAACAGATGCATTGGTTGCTATGGCCAGCTCAGCCTAGCAACGTAATATTTATAATTTCATCGCCCGTATTACTTAGCTTACAATTGGTCGGAGACACATCAATACATAGAGATGTTACAATAATTACGTGATAAATATTATGCAGAGTCCTGAAATATCATTCGCGCATGATGGTATGTCCACGGACGAGAAAGAATGTTGTGTGTAACTTGTTACACACAAATCAAAATAAAAATAATGTTTTTTTATTAATGTTATTGATGCTCGCCCCCCCGACCAGCATCACTCGCTTCGCTCGTGATGCTAATGTCGGGGCGAGCATCAAAATTCGAAGCTTAATTACAGAGTCATATGTTAACGTTTAGTATGACTTGCTACGCTCACAATACTAAAAGTAAAGGAAAAGAATTCGCATCGCATGTAACTGATTTTATGTAAAAATCAATAATAATCATAACCGCTTTGTTTTTTACACAATCAGGCGGCAAATCAAGATCTCGGTGCGAAAGAAAAAACAAATGCAAGTCCTTATGTGCATTGAGATCTTGAATATATTTTTATATTTTGAATTTATTTGGATAATTTTATGAAAACTTTTGCGCGGGGATGGAAGAAAATACTATTTCTTACACGGGTGAAAAATGAAACACCCTCATACACGTGATATGACGCCTCGGCTTCGCCTCGGCGCCATTATACGGCCCCCTTGTAAGAAAATCTACTTTAAGCATCCTTGAGAAAGCTCAAATCGCGATTCAAACTAATACAAAAACGGGCGAAAATTTAATAACTGGAAGAAGATTTACAGTCTATGGATTCATTTTTTAGAAGCTCTGGAAGTTATTTTCATTCCTCCCGTGAACGCACAGTCATCGTTCTGTGCCTTGCCCCAGAGGCCAAGGTAAACCTCGTCGAGGACCAACTCGAGACGCCGAGACGATGTCGCGCGTCTTCAAACGTGATGAAGAGTCGCATACAGTGTGTGCATGCGAGTTTCGTCGTATACTTCGCTTTCGTTATAATTTTGCAGAGGCGTGTTGACACTTTTCGAAATTTTTACGGCGCACGTAGAGGATTGGTACTCGTATGATCAAAAAATAAACTTTCTATGTAAAATATACTATATAAAATATTATCAAACTAAGTTAAAATATTAAATGTAAAAGCATAAAATATTTCATGAAATATTTCGAAGTTGACTACTATATCAGGTACGCCTTAAAGTACTTTTGATAAATGTCAATAAAGAAATGTGAGAGGTGAATTAAATAATTTATAAGTATAATAGTAAAATATAAACTCGTGTATCGTGGAGATTGTCAATGTTTCTTTCGTGTTGAAATTTTAACAAGTGCAATCGATTAGTGTATTATTAAATCCGCATCGATGCTTGAATACTTAAGCGATGATATAAATTATTGAATGAACGTAAAATCGGGTTAAGAATAATTGATGATATCGCGAATTAGCGAATGATCATTTTTTGAAGTAAAATTATTTATAGTTTGCAATGAGCGTATAGATAAAAATATTATTTAAAATAGAGAGCTGCTGTTTTTTTTATTTATGTACACAGTGAAAGGCGGTGCAAAATGGACGGCTGTTAAGGTGCTCTCCTAAAAACATCAATTCAATAGCAAGATCACCAAATTGTATAAATATATCATTTTTTTCAATATATCTCAGCGTATACATTCACAGAGTGAACATCGAGTGCGTCAATTACAGCTTGGTATACAATAGAGCTGAAATTAAGTTGTTAGTTTTTTTTCGTAAGTGTAATATAATAAATGTGCATCTTTCATTGAAGTTTACATTAGATATATGAGTTCACTTTTATGAAACTTCAGCAAACGATTAAAAAAACTTACTTGTTGCTCTGTAGTAACTTACGACAACAGACGCAAAAAATAAAATTTACAGCCGAAGACAAGGGTGCAAAAGTCATGTAAATACTGTAGAAAAAGTGTACATAATCAAGATTAAGCTAGAAGATAATCAAATGTCTTTAGCGACGTTTTTCAACGTACACACATTGGCGATCGTCTTAATGAAGTGCAGCAGCCGATATCTTAAAATACAAGTGCCGTAGACAATCATTTTAGTATGCACATTGATTACTGATGAAAAAAAAATAGATAAAAAAAATTAATCTGATATTTGCACAGAAATTTTTTGTTATGGCATCTGAACATACGGCAATGATATAGATATAAATGTATATATTATATATATAACAATGCAGCAATTTGTGAGAAGTGCATTGGCAAGAAAAAGTGCTCAAGACATACATGTATTCATACTTATTATTTATAATAGAATATATATATCGTATGTATAAAAAATTGTAATATTAAAGGGCAGACTCGGATCGATAATATTTATATGGGTTATTGTAGTATTGTGGCGTATATATATCTGTAATATTAAAACTTGGTGACATTAGATAGGGCGTGATGCGGAGAACACATTTTCTTACTGTTTATATATGGGTAAATCGTTGGAAACCCCGACTGTATGCACAGTTACCTAAGCAGACGGAAAAATCATTCATGTTTATTTCCGTTTCATAATTGAATTGGATTTCTTAACCAGTTTTTTTTCTATAAGCCCGTTATTTAAATGTCCAGAGAGAGAGAGAGAGAGAGAGAGAGAGAGAGAGAGAGAGAGAGAGAGAGAGAGAGAGAGAGATGATCAGAGAGGGTAATAAACGAAACCAAATAATTAGAGCCTTTTTACTGCATATTTCAACTATCGAGACACGCAGCTGCACAACATTTTTTCTCGTTTGCTCGCACAGTCATCGGGCAAAACGTTACGACACTCGTAAAGCTCGGTGACGGTATAAGCAACAGCGGTTTATCGCGAAAAAGAGAGAGAAAGAGATGAAAGAAAGCTGCTTTTTTTCTCCTTCTGTGCTTTCGTCAAGCTTTCGCATCAAAAAACGCATGAAACTCGTTTCATTCACCAATTGGAATACGGCAATTAGGTGGCCCGTTAAAACGAAATTAATTAGCTGTCATCTTTGCTCGATATGGCGCTGCCGCTGCGCGACTGAATTCGTACCACCCCGTGTCGCGAGATTCACCATAATAATAAAGAAAAGAAATACCGGTTAGGTATATTATATACGCGAACTCGGGTTCGTTTAAACATCAGAGGGATTTATTAATGAGAAATTTTGCATCTTTGGCTCATTAGTATTCTTACCGGAGTGTGTAGGTACACACACACACACGTATGCATAAGTCATACATTATACCGTTACATATGAGGTACCTATATCTGGCATACATACACATCCACGCGCTTGTATTTACGTACGCACTGCTCGCCTCAGCGCACGTCACGCGCGCGCATTTGACTTGTCAGTCTGCTGCTGCTGTACATCGTATACGTATACGCGAGCGAACGAACGAACGTGTTTTGACGAGTTGACGTATATAGGCGTAATACGCGGCTTATATATACCGTACGATATGTGTGCAACGTAGATGAGTGTAATCGTCCTAGGGCTGCATTCATGCTAATATGCAACTGTGTGCACTCGGCGTGTATTTAATATACCGCGGCTGTTGCTGCGTTCAACGCGACGACTGCTCGATGGGCGAACGTGAATATTTTGCCCCGTGAGTGGCGTATTATAGGCGCGAAGAGTCGAAATGATTTCCTGAGTGGGAGAAAAAAATAGTCCAAGAGCCTTAAGAAATTTCGTCAAACACACACCGGCATTTATATATAATTCAGCGCTGAGAATATTATATACTCGTATTATATATTTAAAAGCTCTGTATGCCATCGTGTGTGCAAGTACAAGGTGGTGCAGCAGCGCGTGCCAGTCCTGCCAGCTCGTATAATACGACGAGTGTGCGTATATACATACCAAAGTCACGTTTAGTCAACGGTTACTCTCTTCCTCTTCCTCTTTCTCTCTCTCTCTCTCTCTCTCTCTCTCTCTCTCTCTCTCTCTCTCTCTCTCAGCGTGATGCAAGCCCAGAAAGAACAGCTGCAACTACAGAGGCTCTCTATGCGCTGCTTGTCGACATACATGCTTTTTGCGGTCGAGAACTTTATAGAATCTGCTGCTATATAACAGTGACAAACAAGAGACTTACTTTCTCTCTCTTATATACGTGTGTATGTAGCTGTGCACTGTTTGCCTCTCTCCTTCTCTTTGGTTCCTTTTAGTTTTTATCCCGAGACTCAAATACACGTAATACATATACAGCAAGAAGAGAGCTTTTATCGTTTGTACGTTCGATGTTTGCACAATGCACGTACCTACTCGTCCTAAGAGAAGAAGATATTTGTTGTGGTTTTTTGGCCTCATCGAATTATTCAATGCATTATTTGTATCCTTCAACGACGACGACGATGATGCGCGGAAAGAAACGCAAAAGATCAAAACTTGCGAGAGAAACAGATTCTTTAAGCATAGCTGAGGAGAAGAATGTTTTGCTTTCTCATTACTCACACGGGGGTCAAAAAGTTTTCTCTCTCTTTCGCTCTCTCTCTCTTTTCTTTTGCGAGAGCGCGCGCGCTAACGCGAAAGTTTGCATAATTGATTTCGCTCTTTCTTCGCCGCTCGAGCGATAAAGAAACTGCTGCTGCTAAAAATAACGATAAGAACAAGCGAAGCAGGCGCGCGCGCGCAGAAGTTGAAACAGGTGAAAAAGAGCTCGAAACTTTATTATAATTTAATAATGCACGCGCGTACTTTTTAGCGGTATAGAGCAAACGCGGAGATTCGAAGATTTATCTCGAGATTTCATGGTACATTACAACTCGGGAGGCAACTGTGCATTCAGTTTGGCTTTGCGCAATGGAGCAGATTTACTGTACTTAAATATTGTCTTCGAAGTGATACGAGTCTCGGTTCGGTCAGACGCGATTGCGCATAAAGTATGTCATTTTTTTTCTTACATCTATATAGTAGTATACTTATAATATGTATATTATGGATGATTAATTATCTTATACGTCTAGACAATGGCGCGATACAATGGGGGAGGGAGGAGGCAAGCCGCGTAATACTGACCTGAATGAACTCCTGCACGGTGGTATCGACGACCATTAGTGGATTCTGTATGAGATGAATGACTCCGTTCTTCACCGGGATATTGGCCTTGACGATCTCGGCCAGTACCGAGGCCGACGGATGCTGCGAGTCGCCCATCAGCGTGTCCGACTTGATGTAATCTGTCGAACGTATAATTTATTATGATTGATAAGTAACTGCACTCAATTTGTAATATAGAGGACTCTATACTAACATTTATCGACGCCCTTGTCGGTGTGCTCGGTGGAAAAGGTAATGGTGACCTTGAGATTATCGCCGAAAGCCAGAGTCTCGTAGGGTTTGTTGCTCGGCGTCGGCGCCGTGAACAGTACGTGATTCGGAATCACGTGACCGTCGATGACTTGTTTGTCGATTTTACTGGCTCGATGCGACGGCTGTGCAAAGAGAAGAAAATCTGTAATTAATAAATGTTCCTAGCGAGCTCTCATAGCCACGCTCACCAGCACGCCGTCGAGCGGTGGCGAGGCAGTGGCGGCGGCGGCGTTTGTTTGCTACTAAACGCAAAACTCTTGAAATTGCAGTGAGGCAAGAGAGAGTCGTTGAACTTCGGGCGCGCTCGCGCGCGTGTGTGTAGTGTGCACTACTTTTACTGCTTCTCTGCGGCTTTAATATATAAAGTACCCACTCACGTCGAGGTCAATTGGCCGCTCTTTACTCCAAGCTGCGCGCGTGCACACATACGAGCTTTCACGAGTACTACATTGCTGCTGCTGCTGCTGCTGCTGCTGCTGCTGCTGCTGCTGCTGTGCGGCCTTTTCTCCTTCTCCGTGCGTATATAGGTAGAATATGACTCTTTACCGCAGACGAGGATAATTCAACGATTCGATATACGTTTCCCCCAAAATCTATCTTTTTCGGTAACTATCCTCTCTCTCCCTCTTTCCTTTTCACATTCCATTTTGTCGCCACATTTGGCACGACTCGCCACGCGAGACCAAAAAAAAAATAAACATAAAAGAAAAGACAGAGAGAGAGAGAGAGAGAGAGAGAGAGAGAGAGAGAAGACAAGAAACAAGTGTGCACGAGAACTGCAAAACGGTATAAAGGACCACGGCGCAACAACAAGTTGAATAAGAGTGGACGCGAGCATCAGACAAAGGGTACGTACACCAACGAGTAGTAGTAGTGCAAACGCGCACGAGGGCAAGAGAGAAACTCAAGAGAGACAGCAGACTCTCTCTCTCTCTCTCTGTACGCGGCGCAACCCTTTTTCCCTCCTTTTTTTTGCAAGCAATAGACGGGGGCGAGCGAATAAAATTCCAGCAAGGTGCTGACGTTGGCAAAAGACGACCCAAGCCTGATACTATATACCGAAAATCCCCCTGCACACACACGCGCACACACGGATTGTTCTTTATTATACAGCTGACAAAAAAAATTGTACGTGGCAACTCGAATATTCTCTCCTCGTCGTTTGCTTGGCGGCCGAATTTCATCGGAAAATTAGAATGATAACACGCGCTCGATAAAATTTTATTATTCCCTCCCCGAATTCTTCCGATAATAATAAGATAAAAAAGAAAAGACGCGTGTGTTCGAGTTTACGGTGCAGGTTTCGTTAAAAGCATGAAAAAAGTGAAACGTTTTTAATGTCCATCAATTTGTGGGCACATTTATAGGCTCACTTAACTGTATTATGTACTTTTCGATAAATGAGCCCCTAGTTAACGGAGAGCTTTTTTCTCTGTACTCGAGTTGGTCAGTTTATAAATTAATGCGATACAATGTCGAAGTTTATCCACATTATTCAAGGGACCCGATAATGACATCCAATTCCGAGTTGTTTTTCTTATTTTTATACGTACCTTGAAGCCATCGTCAATCGGTATGAAAAACGTGTACTTTCCCTCGGCGCTGAAAACGTTATCCTTCTCGACCATCCGCACGCGGTGGTGGAAAGTACTGTAAAAAAGAAAAAAGAAACAAGCTCGATTAATAATGTCATTTGTGCGGAGCTAGTAAGGTTCCATTTACCACCGGGAACGGCAGTTAGATAGAACGTAGATGTTATATAAACGTACCGAATGCGATGTCTGCCCAAGTTCAAGCTCTCGCTCTTGTTGAGGAACTGCATGGCGTCGGGATTGTAAATGAGCTCGTTGCCTCGAGCTTGAACCGGCTCCAGCACTTCCGAAATCTTGTGCAGTACCTGCGAATAAGGCGCGCCAAGTTTCGTCATTAATACCTCGTAATTGTCTTTTCTCCTACTAGTTATATATGTATAGAGTATATGTGTGTATCTATGTGACTTGTATTATATATGGTTTTCTGTGCTTCGCATTTTTGCGACCTCGTTTTTTTTTATGCCACAACTCTGTCGACTCGGAAACGTGTGTACACGTGTACACACGAACGCCGTGTGTGCTATACGGGTTCGAACGCGTTTCCCGTGGAAGCAAAATGAAGCCGCATTCCAACGTCAATTTATCATTTAGCAATGGTAATCGACCTAAGGAACACGGAACTGTGTGTATCGTGGCGTGCAGCGAGGCAAGAAAGAAAATGGGATACTTTTCATTTGTTCCGCGATTCACACAGACACACACATACAGGAAGAAACGACGCACAAAACGTCCAAAACAGATGACTTTTGATGTGTCTCTGCTTGCCGTATAAAAGAAGGACAAAAAGATAGAGAGAGAGAGATAGGTAGAAAAACCGACCGACAAGAAATCGTCACACGACGTGCAGTGCTGCTGCTCTTTTACTCGGAAACTCATTGTTTTTCGCTGTGTTATGCTGCACATTCCAACGAGCTCTTCTTCTTTTTTTTTAAAGCGAAAGAAAATTGAGAGGCGTGAGTATTTGAGCGTAAATAAGGTTTGAATGACAAGTGACAATGTCACACGCGAGTATGTGACCGAGTGCAAATTTATACTACTCGTTTTTTGTCTTGACGAGTCTTCCGCTTGAGACTGTTGAATACTAAATTAGAATTATTCAAGTATCCGAGATCAATTCGAATGACAAAGAAGATCCCGAGAACGAAGAGAGGAAAATTGAAAGATGGTTACAATGCCAGGGCGCGGAGAAAAAGGGCTAAGAAGCGAACTATTCATCAAAGGCAATTGCCGAGCAGCGTCGTACCGTTCGTCGCGCATAATGCTTACGTAATTCAAAGAAAAAAAGGCTGTCGCAGTCGTTTCTTCTTCGCGTTCGCGCGCGCCGGCAACCAAAGAGCGGCGTGTATTGTAAGCGGCAGTTCGAGTGCAGAGCTGCAGACTGGAAGGATGCCACTTTCGCCCTATTACCGCGTGTATGCATACGCTGCGAGAAGAAAAGACGCCGCGCCACGCTTTATGGTTTTTGTATTATATATAAAAGTCGCGCGCGACAGAACGAGAGACGACGCGCACATTGAGATCTACTCGTACCTGCGTGTTTATCAATGCTTAGAGATCGACTGTTTGAGTTTTTGCAAAGGTGAAAGACACTAATATTCCATCGATAACTCAAATTTAGATTCATAATGATGATTTTTTTGTGCGAGAACGCAAAAACCTGATAATGTCGGTTCATATTCTACTGTGTTTTCATTAATCATTGCAACAAAAAATATTAAAATAATAATATTCAAGTTTTGAATTACAAAATTGTGGTTATCAGGAACAAATAATGTATTTTTAGGGACTACTATTCAATAATATATAAAAAAATAACAGTAGATACATCTATTGTAAACAATACGGAAATAAACAAATCTTGACATCGTTTCTTAATAACCGAAATATTTATACCTGAACAAATTAGTATTAGTGTTGTCTTTCCTGAGGAAAAAAGTCATAAAACCAAAAGATAAATTTTATTTATTCAATTTCTGTGATATTGAATAGAAGGATCCATCGTTTAATTTAGGCACCAACATGGATGAAAGTGAGAAGAAATCACGAATAATTGTGTCGCAGAATAACTTAAGTGGACACGACATTGTTGTTTCAGTAGACAAAAGACACATTTGTGATATTTGTCGGAAGATATTTAAACGAAAATCGAACATGATCAAACACCAAAAGATAGTTCACGAAGGTCGCAAAGATTTCACATGCGACAATTGTGAAAAGAAATTTGGACATAAATCTAATTTGCTCAAACACCAAAAGTCAGTACACGAAGGTCAGAAAGATTTTGAATGCGACAAGTGCGAGAAAAAATTTGGAGTTCAAAACAATTTAAGAGAACATCAAAAATTAGTACACGAAGGTCGGAAAGATTTAGCATGCGACAAGAGTGAAAAGAAATTTGGATTTAAATCAAAATTGATGAAACACCAAAAGACAGTCCACGAAAGTCTGAAGAATTACGCGTGAGACAGGTGCGAGAAAAAATTTGGACAAAGATCGACTTTGCTCTCCCACCAAAAAGCAGTCCACGAGCGAAGCGGAAATTTCGCATCCGACAAGTGCGAGAAAAAATGTGGAAAAAAATCGAATTTGTTCAAGCATCAAAAGACAGTACACGAAGGTCTCAAAAATTACGCATGTGATAATTGCGAAAAAAAATTTGGACAAAAAGCGCATTTGCTCGAACACCAAAAAACAGTTCACCAAGGTTGCAGAGATTTCACATGCGACAATTGTGAAAAGAAATATGGACATGAATCTAATTTGCTCAAACACATAATAACTGTCCATGAAGGTAGCAGAGTAAACGAAAATTGCGACAGGAAATTCGGGCTTACAAGCAATTCAAGAATACATCAAAAGGCAGTTCACGAAGTTAGTAAAGATTACGTACGCGAAAAACACGAGAAAAAATTTGGACGAAAGGTGAATTTACTCTTTCATCCAAAGACAGTCCACGAAGATAAAGTACGTAAAAAGTGCGATTATAAATATGTCACTTTATCGAATTCGAATCAAATACCCGAAGAAACAGTCAATGAAATTCCCGGCGACCATCTATCGGACAAGTACAATGAGCGGTCCATAGATGATGAATTATCGAATAAGTGCAACGAATGGTACAGACAAGTGCCTAATTTTATCACACTTCCAGATAATATTTACGCAGATGATAAGCTATGAAGATTGAGTATGTGATAAATGCGATGAAATGTTTGCGCACGAACTTGATTAATCACACTATAGACTTTCTCGTTGGGGCAAACTTTTGGTGTGACTTGTGTGAAAAAACGTACAAAGTAAGAATCAATTCGACTGTTCTCTCTATCATTCACGAGTTCTTCAAGAATATTTCGAATATTTTTCGAATTTAAACAAAGCGTGCCTAATAATAAATTTGAACGATACATCATGAGTGAATCACTTACTTATTATTAGTAACTCAAACTGGTTACCTACTTGAATGGTAAACGCTGTAAGTTAATTTTAGAATACATTTAATCTCGAAATATGTTCATTCTTTGCATTATTAGTTGAAATTTTCCAAAATCCACACGACCAAGTAGTTATAGTATTATAAGTACTAGACGAATTAAGAAAAAAGATTCACTTAACAGTGTTTCTTTTTTTTACATAAATAGTGTTTTACTAATTTGAAATATATAGTAATGTTATTTAATTGTCAATAAATAAAATTACTACTAACGTGTTATCGAAAGAGAATGTATTGTTTAATTAATATTTGAATGAAACATTATCAATATTATTTTCTCAAATTTTTTTTCAACTTCTAGAATTTAAAAGTAATTAATATTATTTCCAAGGGACTCGTGTAACGTCTTATTATGAAAGAAATAATAATTCAATTGAAAATTGTTATTTTTGACTTGCAGTACCATTTGAATTCTATTTATTAAAATTGCACCTAATTTTTCTTTCGATTTTTGCAATAGTTGAAGCAATGTCAAAAAAATACCCGTGAATTTTTACGTAAACATGAGAATAACAATAATATCTATTAAAATTTCAATTTTTCACGCATCTTTGTATGTTCTGACCTTCAAGAACATAAACTAATACTCATTAATAGTGTCAAATTAGAAAAAATTGGACCCACGTTTAGCCGAGATTTTGGTAAATATAGAATTGCTCACATACTCCACATTTATTATGCAAGCATGTACGTGCAAAGTTATTTATCCTCGAGAGTTCGAACGTCGCGTCAAGTCCGTCGAAGTCATCCAAGTTTAGTTAGGCTTATAATGCTTGATTTAACAGATTCTCATACGTACTATATCATTAAATTCATCGTTATTCTGGATTTACGTAATTCTCAGCCATTAATACGGTTATATAAGCTGCTCTGCGAGTACATTAGAGAGAAATGTACACTTTTGGGCTCTCGGTGGATCGTTCAGTGAAGCTAGAGGGTGCGCAATACGCGTCGACTATACGAACTTACACGCGAGCTTACGAGCACATGAGCTTTCACGGCAGTAACAACCAGCTCGTACAGTCGATAACATTGACGGTAAATTGAAAACGGTTGCTTCAAAAACCGAGTGGAAAAATTATGCCCAACATTTGCAAAATCAACGACGAGGACACGATGTTGCGCTCTGTATGTGTGCGTGAGGTCGTCAACAAGCTCGCGCCCGAAATCACATTTAATAATCAAGCCCGAGTTAAGGTGCTATACGTTAAAGTTCTAACGAGCTCGCAGCAAGTAGGCTCAGGTATCCTGGTCGCGTACGTGCAACCGACACTCCGGCTTGAAGACTCTTATCTGGTATAATAACAACTCGGTTCGCGCGCAGAGGTACGCGCGAAGGGAGAAGGAGGAAAGGGAAGAAAAAAATAAAATAGAAGCGATTAGATTCGAGAGTGCGTGTATGAGGAAAGTAGAAAAGTGAGACAGAGACAGAGAAATAGAAAGAGATGAGCGTGCAAGAGCTTTTACTTAATTATCTAGCCGCGCGAGCGAGAGAGAGAGAGAGAAGCAAAGAGCTTGCGCCCGCGCGGTGGAGTCGTTAAGCTTAATTGGATAGTTTGGGAGTGGCGGGCGCCGCGGGTAAGGGGTATATCTATGTATTGTATATAATAATATAAGGGCGCATGCAGGCACGAGGTGTAACGCGTGTTACGTTCGTCGCGATGTTATTCCATTTGTGGAGCTGCGTAAAAGCTCGAAAAAAGCTCGAGGAATAGGATAAAAGAAGTCGGTTGATTATTGCCAATTCTCGCGATCCACGCGCTGGCTTTGAGATTTGTATAATTCGGACGTTTGCGCGACGTTCCTAGCTTACTACACGCAAAAAAAAGTCTAGACAGTAAATAAAGGAAAGAAGTAGAAGAAAAAGAAGAAGAAGAAGAAGTTCGCGACCGGGTTATCCGAAACGAGCGATAACTAAATCAGAACTCGCGTACACTTACACAGACACACAGACACATGTATAATACACTCGTACATACGTATAACTTGCGTATACTCGCGTATAACAACAATAACGCGCCACGCCGCACTGCAGCAACAGCAATTTCCTGCGAGCTCTGCGCCCGAGCAAAAGCGCCAAAGATAAATATTATATATCCCCCTCACACTGCGTTATATGGTATGGTATATGTATAAATGTTCTTTCTAAACGCGCTCAGTGCAACGAAGATTATTGCAAGCTCGCACAAGTGCTAGTGCTGCTGCTGCTGATGCCTGCACGTTGCAGCAGCACCATTCGTAGCGCTCGCACGAGAGAGAAAGAGAAAGAGAGCGAGAACGAAGGTTGGGGGGTGGAGGCAATTCAAAATTGCCTGATTTACGTTTAATGCATACGTGTGGATGTAAGAGAATCGCACGGGATCGTTATGCGGCTCGTGCAGCACGTATAGGTTAACGCGTGCGCCGAGCAAGAGGAATATTGCAGACGCGCGCCCCGAGCTCGTCGAGACTCGGCTGTGCGCTATACCATCAAAAGTCTGCGCTTTATTTCAGCCTGAAAGCTGAAGCAGTTGATTCTACCCGGCACACGCAGCAGCAGCCTTCGTGTATTATAGTTACGTACTATATCGTTAAGTTTTATTGTTTCGTCTATACAGTACATGGCAATTTTTTCTCCCGCCAAAAAAAGGAGAAAAAAGCGCACAAGTGTGTACACGTTGGTAGTACGCCGCCGCAGCTAATAATACTACATTAGAACAATGAAAATCCCGTTGTGTGTATTACCACGGTTTGGCAGGCACCTGATTTGATTTCGCGCGCGATTTATGCAATCAATTTTAACTCGCGCCACTATATATAAGAACAAAAAAATCTCCGCCAATTCTTTCTCCCGTAATCCGCTGAAAAAGATCTGCGAAACACGGGCGCGAGGGACGGAACTTTCGCACCCGCCGCGCACGGACAACAAAAAAAAAGAACCGCGCAATTCTACAGCTAAGGTGTGGGAAGGAGGGGGTAATTGAACTCTCAGGAGGCAACTAGCTCGCGCGCGCGAAAGCCGATGCTAGCTAGCTGCTGCTGCTACGCTTGCGGTGAGCCTCGAAATCCGATTGAAGATGATGCTCCGCGCTGCACCGCGCCGAGTAGTGCAAACGCACTTTGCGCGTAATTCTATATAAGCCTTGAGCGGGAGAGAGAGAGAGAGAGAGAGAGAGAGAGAGAGAGACAGAGCGACCGAGACGTAGACGACTCTACCCAGACAAAGTGATATCTATATATGTATAAAGTGAAATCGTTCGGAATGCGATTCACCGCTTCTGTCTGTCTGCCTTGGTGAGCGCGCGTAAGGATAGATAGATATAGATATATATAAGGAAGGATTTAGCGCGCTCGTATATACGCCGCATGCTGCTGCACTACTATTGCAGTCGAAAGCGCGGCACATTTTTGTCGAGAAAGAAGATTCGACGCTGCTGACACGCCAAGCGATCTGCGAACGATCATCTCTCACTCTCGTGCGGTAAACTCGCTCTTTTTTAGCGGGAATATATTGTTTTACTATATTCGAGCCCGATGAGATGCTTTTTCGCTTTGTTTTTTGTTTCTTTTTCTTTCTTTTTTTTTTTGTTTATTTTATTTCATATTCCTTGAGTTGGCTAGATTCGGTAATTAAGATTAAAAGAAATGCAATTAATCGAGCGTCGAGCTAGTCGTAATTGCAGCTCGTAAAAATGAGCCGCTGCTGCCGCTGCTCCTCGTCCAGTTTTTATATTAAAATTTTTCCCAATGTCGAGGCAATAAACGTCCCCACCGAGACTTGATGAGCGGGAAAACGACGTACAATAATCGCGCAATGAGAGAAATTGACTTCTTTAGTTGAAAAAAGGGGGGAGAGGTATAAAGCGAGAGAGTGAGCGAGAAAGAGCATGATTACTTTTTTATTATTTTCATAGTACTCAACGTTGCGCGACCAAAGTAAAATGCGTCGTCGAAGGAAAAGAAAAAAATTAATTCGTTGGCTTCGCGAACGAAAGATTTTTTTGTCCTTCGCATGCAACGCAGTGCGCCACGCGGTATTAAATCGTAAAAAAAACTCGCGTTCGCGCGCGCGAGCCGCATGCGACGCGACGTACTGTTAAAAAGGCAAAATAAAAAGGTTTTTTCTTGTCACATCAAACGTCGTCTTCGCAGGCGCGCGCGCGTGAGTGCAGAAAAAAAGGCGAGAAGAAAAAAAAAGTCAAAAAAAAGAGTTAAAAACGCCGGAGCGAGTGGGTGAGTGAGTGAGTAAGAGCTACGGGCGCGCGCTTACTCGCGCGTTGGAGAAATAAGAAGAATGAAAGTCGACTTTTCACTTTGGTAGTACGAGAACGTCCGAAAAATCTCGAGGGATATCCGGCTGGCTGACCGTTAAATTGGAATGCGCTGCATCCCCTTCTTTTAAGGCCACTCTGAGATTCATTGAATCGAGCTACTGCCACTGCCATTGCTGCTACTGCTACTTCTATGCTGCTGCTTTCTGGACTTCGATTTTTCTTTCTCGTCCGTGAGAACGCGCGAGAGCAAGAAGACTTTTTTATATGCCCCAGCTTCTTTGTTTGTCTGTTTGGCTATTTTTTTTCTCTTGATGATGACAGCTGTGACGATCTGTAGAGAGAAGTGCCTTTGCCGAGGCGAGCGATTCTTTTGCTGACTGATTGTTTTCTCAAGTGAGGATAAATTTCGGAAGGAATAGTCGAGTAAGTCGGGCGCATAGGATGTTATTTGAAGTTAGCCAGCGAGTGCAGTTTTTTATAATTTACGGGAAACTAATGTTTGTTCGAACTTCGAACTGAATCGGCAACGCTACGATGCGCCAGGATGAAAAAGTAAGTAGTTGCTTGTCAGATTTTCGCATCAAAATTGAAGTGCGATTGACGTAAGTAAAGTATCAAAGACCGAAGAAAATGTATCACTGTTGAAAATTTAGTTTGAATGCGTTTTACGAAATCGGTCAAATTCCAAATCGAATCAGGACGCATCAAAGAGCTGGACTTATTTATAGTATATTACGTGCGTATTACTATTTTTCATGAATCTCCCAGCAGAAATAAATCTTTCCTTTGTCACTTACAGATTTACAGATGAGTGTATACTCGCATTCTAACGTTAGCTGCTTTAATTAGGATTAAATTTCCATTTTTTTACTTTTGAGAAAAAAAGAAAATTGGTATTAAAATATTAATTTAATTTTGATGTCTAATTTTACTTTACTTTAATTTTAATATTACATTCAATATTTTATTTAATAGTGTAATTCATTTATATTGAAAAATGTCAATTGCATAATTTTCTCTGTCCATTACTGTTTTTCAAAATTGCGAAACAGCAGTGAGATTATTGAATGGTTTAATTACGTATCTACCAAAAAGGAATTAAAAGAATTTAGATTCTACTCACTTGAATTTTTCGGTCATTTTCATTGGTGCCGAAAGGAGACTCGTAATTGCTGCCCTCGATGATTCGTGCATTATTGATGAAGATCTCTTCCCTTCCGTGGGCGCCAGGTCGGCGAGTCACCCACAACGGTGGATTGCCCTCCAGCTCCGAGGTCAACGATTGGCCGAACTGTTCCGTTCTGAATGGCTGGTTAGCTGCAAAAATAATATTACCGTGAGAATGTTTTTGTCAGACATTTTTTGGAAATGAAAAAATCATCCCAGTTTTTACCGTCCAATTATTACGAATTTACGTTCGTTTGATCCCCCTCAAAAAAAAGATTATTCAAGAGTCATCGCCGCGCAGATCTACGCAAATGCCCTAGGTAAAAAGTATAAAATTCAACATAGCCTAAAGCATGCAAAAAAAAAAGAAGGAAGAGGAGTAAAAACGCGACGCTCGAGTCTCGGTATGTAGCATCCTGGACTCGACGTATGAGCATTGTACGCGCACAGAACAGTCACAAAAAACCAAACTCAACTTTTTAGAAAGAAATCCCCGTAGCTCTCGTGTTGCAGCAGCAGCAGCAGCAACACTTTCGGTGAGTTTTGCAGGCTTAAAATAAAGCAAGTCAACCTGCTGCTATACTGTTGCTGCTGCTCTTTAGTTTAACTCCTCTTTTTACCCCCAAAAAAGCAACAAAAAGCCGGCTTTGAAATAAAAAAAAATTACTGCCCCGGTTTATATGGTGGTGCAGCGAAAGTTGCGCTTTCAAATATCCTTTATTATCTCGTTAAGCCTCTCCTTCCCCCCTTGAGGCACGTTCCGTGGAACGAGGATGTATAAATACACGTGCAGGACGCGACGGTGTGGTGGCACGATGCACACAATGCGCCGCGATTTGTTCTCGTTAACTCCCATAAACGTATTCGCGACTGACAATTACAATTAGTCGAAGCTATAAAAAACTTCGTAACAGATTTTTCGTAACAGATTCACGTATTTAACGAAATATTGAAAAAAGCTCCACGTCAATCAGCACACAATATATGGCCGCGTGGCAGAGCCTCGAAATAGATACTGACGTTAGAAATATCGATACATTAATTTTGTCCACGGATAATTGGGTTTGAATTTCATCTGTCAGCGCAAGACTGATTTATTTCTTTGCTTTTTTTTTACCTATAAGTATAAACTGCGGTTTAGCACTCGACCCTTCCGTTATACTTTACGCGAAAGAGATAAGATCGTCTCATTCGTATATATAAAAGCGGTATTCAAAATTGGTAAACGCACACAAGCGTATATGCGAGAGCTGCTGCTATCGCATCCGTTTTGCCGAAACACATTTATACATACGAAGCAGCGCGCATACATATTTGCGTGAAATTGCCTATGTGAATTTTCATTCACCCTACAACGCACAAGGCATCAAGTTTTATAGATAAAATGTTCTTCGGGGGATTGCGTATCGTTTAATACACTTGGCGGCTCCGTTTCTGCGTGTGTAATATCCTCGAGCTTTTTATAAACGCGCCGCGTTTTATCAAGCACGGGAAAAGAAGCGAGGAAATGTTTATCTACATAAATAAAAACGATTTATATATATAATACGTCGTAAACATAATCCGATATAATATTTAATTTTTACGGCTTTAATAGAGGTGTTTACGAGGCGGTGTAAAAAAAGGGTCTAAGCGGTCGGTTATAAAACAAGTCTATAAGTGGAAATCATTGTTTCATTACCAGTATAAATAATATTAGAGGCTTCGCTGCCTCAGGAAAAATTCAATTAGTTGATTTTTCTTCGAATTTCACCGACGTAAAATCACCCGCACAATGAAGTTGATTGATTTCGAGATATCCGACAGAAAAATACTATAGGAAGAGTTTCAAATTTTAATGACATAACGATTTCTTATACGTAAATTATCCCTGAAGCCGGAGCCCGGGCTACGAGCTCCCAGCATACATAAAGTCTCGTCCGAATCATTACACATTAATGAGGTGTAATACGAATATCGATGGTATTACTATTCTTTGGGTATACTACAGCCATCGCTCGCGATGGATGATTTATTCAACAATTTTATATCGCGAGCAGCGCCGAGGCAATGGCGCGCTGCTGCTGCTGCTGCCACGGCGTTCGGGCGCATTTCGAGAGCTAAATTTCGAATGATTAATTGGTTTCGTTTGAATATCAATGCCTGCTCTGTATACACGCGTTCGAGTATATTATGTAATTATAAGTAATGGGCGAGCTTATTATTGCTCGGTGCACCGCTGCTGCTGTATACGTACACAATGGGCGATGATGCGAAATTCGCCCGATCATGCGTGCAGCGTCGAAGAGAGACAGAAAGGGGGCAGAAGCAGCGGCAGCAAGCAGGGTAATAAGTTTGTACATATATAATACGATCGCAACTGACCGGTTGTACATTACACTGGACAAGCGGCTCGGACGGAGGTGGTCAACTGGTTTCAACAAGTCCGAAATCATTGGATATAATAATGTAATAAAGCCGTACGATGTGCCTTTCGATTTGAACTATTTTCGCCGCATGGTAGGCTGACTAATTATCCATTTAATTTCTGAGTGCGCGCGAGTGTAAATAAATACTTGATGTACCGACATTCCCCATCGAACATCCAAATAGGTACAGTATGACTGTAGCTTACGGATTTTTTTTAACTGAAAAGGACGTCGATAATCGATTGCGCGGCGCTTAAAATAATTCATCGAATTCACGGATTGATGATAATTGTTTCTCAATAATCCGAGAAAACGAAATTTTCAATAACGACGATCCTGTAATTTTAATTTAGAAATGAATTCTGAAGTTTGATCATACATTTTTGGAAGCAAATTCATAGTTATAACTTAATAATGAGGTCGAAAATTCTATTGAGATCGCAGGCAAGAGTGAGTGAGAAAACTTGAGTACATTTGAAGCAATTATATAATATAGAAGTTGCGCTCTGCAGGAGAGAGAAATCAGCGACGGTTTTAGAGGTGGCGGGAGGTAACGGCGATTCTCGAGCGATTTGTTATTCAGATTTGCCCTTCTCTACTCTCAGCGCGCTCCACAGTCAGGTTGCAACATATATACATAGTCGTAAAATTAAATTTCCCAAACAAACTTCGTGTGGCGCGCGCGCACGCGCATAATACAGGGTCCGCAGTGCGCGCGGTATATAACGCGCTTCACCTTCAATTAAACACTCGAAGACGAAAGATTATATTATTATTATTATGTTTTGCACTGTTGCGTTTGCTCTTGCTCTGTTTCTCAGTCTACGGACGGACTCTCTTTCTCTTCGACTCGAGAGAGAGCCAAGTTAATTTTCTGATAAGGCTTTTTACCAAATGGGATGGATGGACGAGAAAAGTGCGTTTATATAATGTACATACTACTAGGCATCAGCAGAAGCAGTGGCTGCCAGTCGTTACTAGCTGCTGTATACGCACGTGCGATAAGTCGCGTGATTAATGGACTTGTACCTTTTTTTATGCACAATTCGTGCGCACACGCTTTTCTCAAGTTAGTTTTTATTTTCACGCGCATGAATTATGGTCATTTTCGTATATGAGGTTTCTTTTTTTTTTATACATTCGAAGCTGAATTCAATTTGTGAACGGATTATTGCATCGAACTACGCGAATACGTATCGCAAATAATAAATCACAGAGAGAATAACTAAACTCTCGATGCATTACACACTGTATGTCGGCGGGACATTTGAAATCTATGCGGACGCGTGTTAAAGGGACGAAGCAGCAGCTACGTAATTCTATTAGACCCGATCGCGGCAGTCCGTTTTCCGATACATTACTTCCTCGATGATGTGTATCTGCATTTTCTTTGAAGCTTTTTCTTCGCTTTGTTCATATATTACACACGTGTACATATCGCAGAAAAGATAATGGCTTTATTTGCGATGTACTTGCTACACATACTGAGAATAAACAATGCACTTATCGAGTAGTATCGTGCTGTATCCCTGTATGCTGCAAGAAAAAGGTTCGAATTCCTTTTTATTCTTCTTTCCCGCATATCACAGTATATGCGAAAGGGCGCAGTTTAATCAAATAATGGTAACAGTGCATTTGCAAGATTGAACGAAAATGAGTAGAAAAACATTTTGTTATTTTATCCAGTGTACTCTAGTGCAGTACCGCTTGGGCGTGGACTCGTATTCGCTCTATATTGCCGGGGTTGGATAAGACTTTTCTTTCAATCGCGCGCGTTTTATGCGGCGTCCTATGCGAGCGTTCCAATATAATCCTTAAAAAAGGGCGGAGAGATTAAAAAAATCTCCCTTTTTCCTGTGTCTCGAGTCGCACACAGCACATAACGGCCATCCGAGCTTATTAAATAAAGAACCTCACGGGGTAATTTTAACCTTGCGCGCGCGGGTAAGTTCGCTGTCATGTAGCGCTCGCTCGCTCGCTCGCAAACGTTCGCATCTCTCTTTCTCTCTGTGTTTTTTCCTCCGTCTCTCTCGCTGCCGCTTCGCCCCCGCTCCGCCCGGTTAGCTTTTAATCTTACTTATATAATCGTCAGCAAGCCTAATTAGCACGGCAAAGTCTTTACTTTTGATTGCATTTTTCTTTATGTTTATATACCTCGGGTGGAAGCGCGCGCTGTGCAAAAAAAAATGTTGTATTCTTCGAGCTCGACTCTCTTTAGCTCTCTCTCCTTTTTTGCCAAGCACCGGCAAAATGCAATTTCTCCAGCAGCCTTTGAGATATGCGCGCGATAAAATTGCTATAGGGCCCTGCCGCGCTGCGCTCAAACGTTCGAGCGGCAACGGCAGCAGCAGCAGCACAGCTACACTAAAGAAAATTATAAATTGAATTGGCGCTTATACTTTGCCGAAAAATAAAAATAAAAAAAATTTAGTCTTAGCGCGGCGTACGTATACGGAATAAATGCAGCAACGCTCTCAGCATTACGCGCACGAGCCAATCGAGTCCCACGATGTTGGCGTGTACACATATATAGTACAGTAGCAAAATATATATATGCAGAATGTATATGCAGTATATAAGCGCACGAAGCGGCATTTACATTTGTTAGCATTATTCATGCGCGTGACATCGTTCGGTGGTTCCCTGAAGGCTTGTGTCTGTCTCTCTCTCGCGCAACCCACGCGCGCGCGTACACATTTGAATATGCATGGCGGTATGTAGCGATTCTGTGTTTTTTTTTAT